GTAAAGAATTGGAGATCACAAGGCTCCTGTTTTCTTATAGTGTTCTCACAAGCACTCAACTCTCCTCATGGACTCTACTCCTGAACTGTGTTTCAACATATGTATATATACACTTTTAATTGAATTATATACCTTGGAAATACAATTGCTGAGCCAAAAGATATGTCCTTGTTTAATTTTAAGGGGCTGCCATAATGTTTTATAAAACAGCTGGCATATTACTCTCTCACCGTTGATGAATGAGAGTTCTGATTTCTTCACGTTCTTGTTTACTGTAGCTGTCAGAGGGTGTGGTCTGGTAACATTGTCACTTTGGTTTGTATTTCTCTGATAAATAATGTTAGCTTTTTTGTTGGTTGGGTTTTGTTTTTTCGAGAACCTGCCTCTATAGGTTCTGAATGTGTGAAGTGCATTATATATTCATGAGTGTGAACAGGGAGATGTGGAGGCCAGAAGTTGACATATGGTGTCTTCCTCAATTGTACTCCTTTTTTGTTTGTATGTTTGTCTTTCTGTTGTTTCAATTTTTATAGATCTTTTATGTGTGAGATTTCTTTGCATGTATACATGTGTACCATGTGCATGCTTGGTGCCCATGGAAGTCAGAAGAGATTGTTGGATCCCTTGGAACTGAAGCTCGGGTTGGTTGTATATCGACACATAGGTGTTGGGTTGCAACGTGGATCTTCTGCAAGAGAGCATCAAGTGCTCTTGCTCTTATTCCCCGGGCTGCCTCTACAGCCCTTCTGCATCTTTTTTGGAACAGGATCTCTCACTGTGGAGCTCATCAACTTGGCCAGACTGGCTGGCCAGTGTGCTCCAAGAATCTACCTGTCTCCACCTCCCCAGTGCTGGAATTACGGATGTATACTACCTGAGTAATGCATATGTGTTTAGTTCATCTGAACACACTGGTCTTCATGTTTGATTGCCTAAAGCCATCCCTCTAGATCCCTCAACTTTTTTTAAATTCTGTTGTTTTTTTGTCAGGTCATATCATTTTGTGAATTTGTGTACAAGTGATTGTTGTTCATCTCTTTTTGTCAATTTCAAACTTCACTAGTAAAATAGTAAAGAATGAAATTTCATGTTTTAATTTTTAGCCTCAAACTCAGATCCTCCTGCCTCTTCATACAGAGTATTGGAATTAAAGACATGTGCCACCAACCTAACTAGCCTAACTTACAGGTAATTAAATGACATTCAGTTATTGGCTGTTGGGTAGATTGTGAGAAATCTACCAAATATAAGCAAATGACGATCATTGTTTTTGGAATAAACAAGGTGTGGATATGTATAAAGCCCTAAAATGTTAGTGAGCAACTTAGGTAATAAATGTTATATTTGACACAAATTATAATGCATATAATACCTACCACCTCTAAACTCAGCTCAAGTTACACAGCTAAATATATTTGCCAAACTCCAACTAAGAGAAAACATTGTGCTGACAATAAACTTAATGATTACTTTCAAATCTATTGTTAACACTTTGTAGGGTGTATCACAGTGTGCTTGTGGAGGTCAGAGGACAGCCAGTGGCAGTCATAAAGCCCTGAGTCTGAGTGAGAATCCACTGACCTTGTAGCCTGGAGTGTGCTGTTCAGTCACAGCTCCTCAACTAGATGGACCTCCAACTTATTGCTTGCTTGTGCTCAAATTTTGTTTTATTTTTTAAGACAGGGTTTCTCTGTGTAGCCCTGACTATCCTAGAACTCACTTTGTAGACCAGGCTGACCTCGAACTCAATCACCTGCCTCTGCCTCCTGAGTACTAGGATTAAAGGCCTGGCTTTAAAAAAGGATGGCTCAGCCTTACTGAATTTGGCTCCCAGAACTCACATGGTGGAAAGGGAGAACCAACTCCTATAAATTGTGTACTGGCTTCCACACATATCCCTTAGCATGTACATACCCCATAGTTGTATTTTTTGAGGCCAGGTCTCACAGTGTAGCACTAGCTGTTTTGGAACTCAAGATACCTACCTGCCTCTACATCCTGAGTAATGGGACACAATTAAAATTTTTAAGCAACTAGGTGGCTCTGGACTTCTGGCCTTCACACATGTGTATATACTCATACAAACAAAAGAATTTTCTACTTGTGGATCTCAAGCCTTTCCCTCCGTTATTTCTTAGTCATTTTTGGAAAGAAAGCTTTCCAATTGATACAGCATGTATCTCTTAAACCTTGATGGGTGGTAGTAATAGCAGATGTGTTCACTAAGAACTAAAAGAAGGATTCTACTCTACTTTAAAGGTTAAAAACGACAACAAACACCAACCATGAAAGATCCAAGTCGCAGCAGTACTAGCCCAAGCATTATCAATGAAGATGTGATTATTAACGGTCATTCTCATGAAGATGATAATCCATTTGCAGAGTACATGTGGATGGAAAACGAAGAGGAATTCAACAGACAAGTTAGTTTTGTGTACAAACGTTTTTCTAGCTTCCTATCTTTCAAATATGTGCTTGACTCCATAATATGTGTATATATAGTCCTTTATATGTAGGCGTTACGTGGTACCACTCCTATTTTATTTGGCTGATTACTGCCAGGCTTAACTGGTCATTGAAATTACTTGGGCAACTTGTTTCAGGGTCCCACCCTAGGGACTGATGCAGAAGCATAGGGTGTGGCCTGGGAAACTAAAAAAAAAAGCACCCAGATAGTTTCAATTTGAAAACCACTACCTTAAACCAATCAGATCTGTATTACAATACAAATAAATCCAAGAAAATTTAGGAAACTGGAGTAAACAGGCCATAAATGTTTGGTGCAAAATTGGTCTGTTGTTCACTAGAGACCTTCAGTCTTCTGTTGTTGTTGTTGATGATGATGATGATGTTGACAGGGTTTCTCAGTAGCTATGGAGCCATTCCTGGAAATCGTTCTGTAGACCAGACCAGGCTGGCCTTGAACTCACAGAGATCCACCTACCTCTGCCTCCCAGGTGCTGGAGTTAAAGGCATCCACTGCCAACACAAACTTACTTTACTTTTTCCTTGCTATTTTCAATGGGAAAAACATTCTATAGAGACAAAGACCTAGAATAACCCTAAACAGATACAGATCTTCTTTGGTGTTTGTGGGTTGTTTGGTTGGGGAGGGGGGTTCCTATAGTAGAGAAGCGGGGAAGAAAGTTTATTTTTTAATTTGGTATTGGAGATCAGATTCAAGGCCAATGAGTTACACTTCCAGCTCTGATATTAGGGTATGTGGGTGTGTATGTGCTCACCATTCTCTTATCTCAGCCTCCAGGGTACTAGGATTACAGGTGTGTACTTCTGAGCCTGGCTATTATGGGACATTTTGAGAGATGGGCTCATTCCGTCTTACAGTCTGGCCTAGAACTCATGGTAGTCATTTTCCCTTTTTCTTCAAGTGCTGAGATGATAGGTGAAAACCACACAGCTAGCCATATTATGAATTGGTTTGGTTCTGCTCTGTCCTTGACTGACCTATAACTGACTATGTAGAATAGGCTGGTCTAGGACTCAGGTATCTGCTTGCCTGCCTCCTGGGTACTGGGATTAACAACAGGTACTACCACACCCTGCCCACATACTATTATTTCAAATGGCTTAGTTTAAGATATTTTAAGCCAAACTTAGAGATGTCTTACCAATTATGTATGCTATAATTATCCCCTATTTGTTGTAACTCTAGATAGAAGAGGAGTTGTGGGAAGAAGAATTTATTGAACGCTGTTTCCAAGAAATGCTGGAAGAAGAAGAAGAACATGAATGGTTTATTCCAGCTCGAGATCTCCCACAGACTATGGACCAAATTCAAGACCAGTTTAATGACCTTGTTATCAGTGATGGCTCTTCTCTGGAAGATCTTGTGGTAAAAAGTCATTTCTCATCTTTTTAGACCCTACCTCATCTTTCCCATAAATGGAAAATCCAGCTACACTCTGTTTAAGAAGAGTTCCGTATCTCTTCCCCTTTGAAAATTTTCCCTCTTTTTAGAGTGGAAGCAGAGCCACACACACCCCAGTGTCATTTATAACTTGTAGCTTCCAACCTTGATGCTGCATTAAAACCTAATGTTGCCCTTGGAATATTACCATATGACTTGACTATATAAAAAGTATCTTGATAAAAGTTTTGCTCTTTAATTGTTACATAAACATTTGGTAAAATTTGGAAATTTTTATCTGATAAAATTTCTTACATCTCCTGATTGGGTTTCTTTTGAGAGATACTTTTACAAGTTCTTGGCAGAAAAAGAATGCAAAGCTAGATTCATATTCTCAGTATTGTTACTGGTAATGTGTTGCAATAAAGTTCTCATCGTCACTAAAGTAGAACATGATGAGTCTTTTACTAAAATTAAGACAAAAGATTTCCTTGTTTTGTGAGGTGGGTGGGTGATTGAAACAGGGTTTCACTCTAGCACAATCCAACCTGAAAATCAATGCTTAGCCCGGACTAGCCTCAAACTTAGAGCAATCCTCATGCCCCAGTCTACCAAGACTTGTGATTACAAGCATGAGCTACCATCTCCACAAGATTTTTAAATTACAATTTTTTTTTTGGGTTTGGATGTTGTTCACCTTTCTAGCCAAGAGAATTATCTGGAATTCCTGGGTCTGGAATTTCTCCATTGTTGTCTGTTTACTGCTCATTCCTTTACTAAGCTGTTCATAATCACCTGAACTTCAAAAACCAGATGTTAAGCATGGTAATTGTTTAAAAGCATCCCAAAGGAGATACTTAGAATCGTCCTCGTCATCAGGCTTTTGGAAACCATTCTGCGGCCAAGAACAATATAGAAAACATTGAAATTTACATTATGGTATAGTCCTTGTTGTAGTAAATGACAGTAACATACTGCTCATGGCTCTATAGTGTCGTATGAAATACTACTGATGCTCTTATGAAGAAAGGCCTTTGCTAGGCTTAATGTAGAACCTAGATTTTGCATAAATCCATAACACAGAAACTGATTTGTTTACTCAGACTATTCAAGATTATTTTAATTAATTCTTATCTAGCTGTCAGAGATTATATATTTAAGACTTCTGGGTTTTACAATTAAATCATGCTCACTCTTCTTCCTCTTAAGGGTTTTTATTTATGTGATGTCATGCTGAAGGTCAAGCCCAGGCCTGGAACATTCTAGTCTTTAGTTAAAATATAGACTTAGTCTTTTAAGACTATTTATATCAATTTTAACTTATTGTTCCAATGTGTTACTTAGTATTGTGTTTTGTTCTTAAAATACATGACATTGGAATTAAATTCAGTTTAAAAAAAAAAAACCCTACCTGCATGTCTATGTTTACCCCTGGAATCTCCTGGTTTCTTTTTTATCAACTCTCAACTCTCTGTGTAGACAATTTCCAGCTCTTTTTCCTCTATATTGACATGTACACTTAGGAAAGTAAAAGTAAAGAACAGAATAAAGCTAGTACAAGTCTGTTGAGTATGCAGAGACTTTGGCCTACTCTTCTGATGTTTTTAAGTTGATGTGGAAATAGAGTCTTGAGAGGGTGACTTGTCCAAGCTTACAAGGAATTTGAAATAGAGCTGTGGTTTCCAACTTGGGTCTTCTGTCTGCTGTGTAGCTTTCTTTTTTCCTCTTATATCTAGTACCTCCTGTAGGAATTAGAAAGCAGCAGTTGTGGAAAGAAGATGACCTCTTAAGTTTTCATTGACAATCATAAGTAGAATTCAAAAATAGCCAACAGTGCCCCAGTTAATCACACTGTTAACATGTATTTGACATGTTTGGAAGTATTGCCAGAGCATCAAGTACAGTTAACAGAATTCTTTATTCCATGCTATTATAGATTATGTGAAGTTAATGGGTTTTGTTGTACTTAATGTCGGCTCCTACTTTAGAAGTTGATATAATAGGATTAGAGGCCTCATGTGGTGACACATGCCTTTAATTCCAGCACTTGGGAGGCATAGGCTAGTGGATCTCTGAAGGCCAGCCAAGACTACATAGAGAGACCTACATAAAACAAAAAAACAAAAAACAGAAAAAGGATATAGAGTTTACATCACATTCTTTCTCTGCCATGTTTTTGGGTTTAGATATAATTGTAGTCCAATCTTTCGTATTTTCTGAGATATTTTTTACATTAGGATCTAGGCTGAATGCTTCTGAGAATCTACAGCCAACTGTAATTTGCTCTTTTTTTTTCTTCTTCTTCTTCTTATGTACTTATTTTCCAGGTCAAGAGCAATCTGAATCCAAATGCAAAGGAGTTTGTTCCTGGGGTGAAGTACTAACATATTTGAGTAGACGGGGCCCTCTTTTGGTGGATGTAGCACAATTTCCACACTGTGAAGGCAGTATTAGAAGACTTCATTGTAAAAGCTCTCTCGTCACTGTGTTACACTTATGCATTGCCAAAGTCTTTGTTAGTCTTGCATGCTTAATAAAAGTGCTGAGACTGTTACTAAGAAAGAAGCGGTCACACTTCCTGGAAGTAGAATGAATGCCCATGCTTCGTGTAAAGACAGCAGTGGAAGAAGCGCCAGTCAATTGTGACAAAGAACCAAATTAAATGACCTGCAACTCTCACTGAATTGTCTGTCTTTGAGGCTAAACTGGTCCCTTAGGACTAATTGATACTTTCGGATGTCTACACTTTGCAAAAAATAAGTAAACGAGCAAGTTTAAGTTAGAATCTGATTGTTAAGCAGATTTCTCAGTTGCATTTGTCCACTAAAAATAACCTTTCCTGAAGAAAGTCTGTTAATTGGAAGTGTCATTACACAGAATGTCTGACAGGGTACTTCGGTGATCGTCTGCTTTTGCCTGGTGCATTAGCATGTTAGGAATACTGGGCTCTCCCAGTGCTGAACTTGAGGAAATACAATTTGAGACTTGTGTCTTCTGAGGTTTTGTTGCATCATAGCCATACATGTATGAAATCTAACACAGGACCAACCCAGCCCATAATCTAATTGAAGTACTAAAGGTGGTAGCATGGTTTTGAGTGGTGCTCTTCCTTGCTTTGCTAACCATCATGACTATAGTCTGCAGCACGATTTTCTTTTAACAAAGCTAGAACAGTTTTGGCTTCTTAAACTTCATATTTTGGGTAGGTTAAGCTGCCATACGTGTTCAGTGTGAATAGTGTTTAAGTTGAAAATATTGTAAAAAAATTATATTTTTTCAAAAATATTTAAAAAAATAAATAATAGTAGAACTGAGCTGATGCTTGTGTTTATTGGTACAGACTACCCGGTGTTGGTATTTATGTGGGCCCAGAGCCTCTGGTTACTCTGGGTGAACTATGCTCAGAGAGGAGTATTTACTAGAATACATAGCTGTGCAATTATCTCCAGTATTTGACTGGTCCTTTTTTTTTTTTTTTTTTTTTTTTTTGCCCAAGACTTGCAGTGTCTGAAATCTTAGATAGCCCGGTATAAAGCTATGGTTGTGCTGGGGATATGTGTTAGTGGTGGAACACTTGCTTAGCATGTGCAGCAACATGGATTCTTGATAATATAGGCCATGTAGTCATTTATTTTGTTTATTTTCAAGATAAGGTTTCTCTGTGTAGCCCTGGCTGTACTGGAGCTCACTTTGTGAACTAGGCTGACCTCGAACTTGATCCACCTGTTTCTGCCTCCCAAGTGCTGGGATAAAAGGTGTGCACCACCATGCCCAACTTTAGTGTATGTTTTGAGACCGTGTATAGCTGCATAGCTAAATCCCAGCTTTGAACACAGGGTCCTCCTTGCCACAGGCTTCTGGGTGCTGAGGTTACCTTGTTCTCCTGTGTGATTATTTCTGGCTCACATTCCTTGTGGGAAACTCTGAGGTTGTTTTGTTTGTGGTGCTGGAAGTTGGACTTAGGAACTATTTTCTGCATGCTAATCAACCACTGTTAACTGGTCATCTATCTACCATCTTCAACCCCAGCGAGGGGCTTTTTGGTTTTTACAAACAGGGATCCTCTGTATGTGTATCCCTAGCTGTCCTGGAACTCACTTCATAGACCAGGCTGGCCTCAGACTCACAGAGATCTGGCATGTACTTCTAAGCCTGACTCTAATTTTCTTTTTCCTTGGCATTTTGAGACTACAGATGTTGCACTTGTTTATTTGGTGCAGATTGATATTTTGTCTGCATGTATATCTGCACATGAGAAGACTATTAATTAGCTCCTATAAACTACAGTTATAGACAGTTGTGAGCCACATGTAGGTGCTAGAAATTGAACTCGGGACCTCTGGAAAAGCAGGACAGCCAGGAAGGGTTTTTTTTTTTTGCATGCGTGCGTGGTGTGTGTGGCCTGCAGTCGTATCTGTGTATCAAGCCTAGAGACCATAGAGGCCAAAAGAGAGCAGCATCAGAGCTCCTGGACCTGGAGTTACAGTTGTAAGCTGCTATGTGGGTGCAGGGAATTGAACCAGGGTCCTCTGGGAGAGAAGGCAGTTGTTGGTTTTTGGTTTTGTTTTAGAGACAAGGTCTTATGTAGCCCTTGGCTATCCTGGAGTTTGCAGTATAGAACAAGCTTGACTCAGAAATCTGCCTGCTTCTGCCTCCCAAGTGCTGGGATTAAATGTGTGCTCCACCACACCTGGCAGCAGGCAAATTCTTTAAAAACCGCTGGAAAAAACAGCCATGTTTGACACTTGTTCTTTGAGGGCCATAATCCTTTTGTTTTCTAACTGCTCAGAATCAAATGTACTACAAGGGGCACCACTCAAGCTGCCTCTGCTGCCATAACAGGCATAAGCCACCATTCACAACTTTCATTGGAATGCAGCTTGTTTGGGGAAGAAAGCATTCGAATTAGCCAGAGCCAGGTGTCTGATTTTAGGCAAAATAGGATTCAGAAATATCCATACATTTTGAACCCTAAAAACAAAGGATCATCATCCCCCCCCTTATGGACTTTTACTAGTAGATTTATGGTACTAAATAATTGAAAATTATTTTAGTTTTATGACCACTAACATTGAAACAAAGTTGTATATGTGGAAGGATTTTTCCTGTTTAATGTCTTAGTGTTTCAATCTTTTCCATGCCAGACATTATTTAAGTATTGTGATGTATACCTGTAAAATTCCTGCATTTGAGGAGCTAGAGAGATGGCTCGGTGGATAAGAGTACTTGTTGATCTGGCAAGAGAACCCATGTTTGATTCCCAGCACTCACATGGTGGTTCATAACTGTTCATAACTCCAGTTGAGGGGATCCAATGCTTGCTCCTGACCTCTGCAGGCCCCAGACATGTGCATGGAATACACATATTTGCAGGCAAAACACCCATGTACATAAAATGGATTGCCTTAAAGTTTTTTTTTAATCCTTACATTTTGAGAAAGAGGGACATGAATTGGGAGGAGATGAGCTGATCCTGGTGGCTTAGGCCATTAATGCCAGTACTTGAGAGACTGAAAAAAATACATGTAGTGTACAAGGATTCAAAGATACAGGCTGGCAGTGACTACTTACAGACTCTAGTTGGCCTAGATGCTGCCTGTGTCTGGTAGGATTAATATTTCACCTTACTTGTTAGCCTACAACAGTTGGGAATTTCTGCTGTTACTATAACATGCCTAAGGAATTCCACCTAAAATCCACATAATGACTTTTTATCCAGCCTATTCTCCCCTTGAAATTGGAAACAGATTACAAAAATGTTAAGTAATTCATTTTCCTTTTTGTTGAAATAGTTTGATTACTCAACCTCCCACAAGAGCCATAACATCCTACCTTTGGTAGTTTCAGACCTTGGTGCACACAGACTCCGTTTCTGTGTTGTTTGGAGTGTCTTCTACAACTGGAGGCTGAGCTTGTGACTTTTTAGAAAACCCTCTGAAGACTGGGCAGATAGGAATGTATCTGAAAAAGGCAGTCCTTTTTACTATGTCCATCCCAAAGGGGAAGTCGTAACTCTTCACACTGGCAGACGTCTCACTGTTGGTGTGGGCCCCAGCTTTCCACTGTATCAGGCCTCTTTCCTCTGGGCTCCCTGCAGGACAGTGAGGTCATTTAGGAGGGTAGCAACCCTGTGGTTCCTTTCCTTCACACAGCCAGTCCTAAGCTTGCTTCTAGAACCAAGTGTTGGTGAGTTTGCATTGCTAGAATGAAGCTCAAGGCAGTTTTGTGTGCTAGATAAGCACTCTACCACCCTGGATTCGTTAGTTGCCAGAGCTGAAAAGCCCTGAAAGATTATGCTCTGAGAAACCCTAATAGACTAATACCCAGGCAGGAGAGAGGGTGCAATGAAGTCAGTAGCCCAACTTCTCTCCAAAGGACCCTGGTTCAATTCCCAGCACCCACATGACAGCTGACACCTGTCTGTCTACATTTGAATCTTCCTCTGAGGTATAAGTCAGGTATAGAGATACATGCCAATAATGTTAATGCTGGGTAGATAAAGAGAATGTCAAGTTTAAGCTAGTTTGAACTACAAAACATGTTTAAATGAACAGTCTTCACTGAGCTTTATCCACCCAGTTTCTAAAACCTGTCTGCACAGGCCTCGTGGTACAGCAGCTGGGAAACAAGCTATTCACTGTCAATTTTCGGTCTAATGTCACTTTATGACATTGATGGTTTGTTTCAACACTGGGGATTAAATGTAGGGCCTCACAAATGCTTAACAAGTGCTTCACTGCTGATAGAGCCCAGCCTGTCAGGTTTCGAGAATGACTTGAGAGTCCATTTGTGACTCATTGTGGATGTCGGCTGCCTTTTAGACCTCCTGGTAGGCAGTTTGTAAAATATATTTACTGGGCATATGCATACTAGGCTGTCACATTTCCACATTCCCTGCAAAAACTTGGGCAAGTAAATATTCATTTTGGGGTCTCCTATTTGTGTTGCAGGCTGCTAACATACTTGGTAGATTTTTTTCCCCACAAACCAATGCTGCATTTCCACCTGTGCAACTCTGCAAAAATTAAGTTGCTTTCAGCCTGGTGGCTATAAAGAATTAGTGAGGAACTCCCAAAACCCAGAAATAACTCTTAAGACCTCACCCTTTTAAAGACCTGGGGAATATGTCATGCCTTAGGCTCTTCCCTCCAGCCAATGAACACTCCGCCAACCCATCTGTTCCTGCTGCTTGCTGGCCTGAATGGCATCAGGCCTGGCCATATTTCCTCAGGAACCAAGCTGTCTATTGTGCATCAGAGTCTAACCTGGTTCTGCACTTCCCTCCAGAGCATCACTGACCCAGTACCTGGCACTGTGTTGTCCAGTATGAAAGCAAGGCACCCGCCAACAAACATCTCCGTGGTCAGCAGTACAGTTAGGATCTGATCCACTTCAGGAATGCCTGTGGAATAAGGGCCAATGGGCTGGTGGCTGTTTCTAGAAGGCAGAACTCAAGGGACTTCCTGCCTGTGTAGTTCACTGACTTTGAAGCTATCGTGACCGTGGACTATTCCAAGGCCCTGACCTTCAAGCCTATCTGTACCCCTGTCTCTCCTATCTTTGGGAATAGTCTGCTAGTTACTGACTTTGAACAATACTTAGCCCCTGTGAACTCTTGTTCCACTGAAAAACGGGTAGTAATAGGGTTTCATGGACCCATTGGGAACATTAAATGAGCACATATAGAACTTGCTAAGTAGCTAAGCTCATGCTTGTAATCCAGCCTCATTACAGGTGCTAGGGATGTGTGGTACCATTTAATTGGTTTCTATCCCACATGTGTAAGAGTTTTGAGAGATCATCCCACTTTCCCCCATCTCCATCAAGAACAATAGAGAACAAAAGGTACCTGTGTTGATAGCACCTGGGTTGGAATCCAGGTAATTGGGCAGCATGAGGCCAAAGAACATAGAGAATCCCAGTACAAAGAGGTTGCGCGATGAGTTCATGTCCACGAACTGCAGATTAGACAGTCCCACGGCGGTGATCATACCTGCCACAGCAAAACCAATAGCGATTCAGCCTGCCTAGATGGGTCCCACCACTCTCACTGAGCAGGCATCAGAAACTCACCAAAAAGGGTGCAAAACATTCCTCCCAGGATGGGATCTGGGAGGGAGGCGAAGAGGGCTGTGAACTTGCCAATGACACCCAGGACTAGCATGATGCCTGCACCATACTGCACAACTCGACGGCTGCCCACCTGCAGGGGGTTAGGCAAACAAATGGACTGTCTAGTACTAGGGGTGTGGGGAGGGGGGCTTGCAGGATGAAGCTGGAATGCTCTCACAGGGTGGGGCTAGGCCAAAGCCAAGACTACTTAGAACAGAGCTTGCAGCACACGAACGGGTGTGGCACCTTGGTAATCCCTAGGACCCCAATGTTGGGGCTCGATGAGGTGGACCCGTTGCCTGTGCCCAGTAGCCCAGCAATAATGCAGCAGATGCCTTCAGTGAAAATTCCCCTGTAAAGAAATGAGTGGGGTGGTGGTCCAGCCTCACCGCCAGTCTGTCCTGTCCCCGTGGTCCACTGCCTGCCCCTCGGGCTGTGCAGGCTAGCATTCCACTCTGGAAGCCAGGAGTCAGTACCCACACTGTGCCTCAGTCCTCCCTCCCTTTGACAGTTTGGAGCTTCAGTTTGTCTGCACCCTGAAGATAATAAGGGTCCCTACCATACAGCGTAGTTAACCATTGCCTAAGAGTACACAGTTTTCAGTAACTTGTTTCCCTGGGACTCCTGCATCCCTCAGCTGTCAGCATTTACAGAGTAATTCCCCATTCTGTACTCAAGAGGATGAGGTTGAGATGAGAGTGGCCTTCTTGCCCTCTAAGCCTTTAACTGTGGCACCAGTTGTAACCCTACACTTGCTTTCGTAGTGGCCCCTGGGGACCAGACATTGAGGTGGGCATACCTGTTGATAGCATGTACTGGAGGGGGTGGTGCACCAGCCAGCCGGGCACAAGCGTAGTAGTCACCGATGGACTCGATGATGCCTGCCAGTGTGGCACTAAACATTCCCAGAACTGCAGCCACAGTCACTGTGGGCAGGCCCCACTGACCTGGGTTGGAGACAAGAGTAGGTTCTTGAGGCTATGATGGGTTAAGAATAGACAGTTATTTGAAAGGGAGATGGTGGGGGTCGTCTCACGCTGAAACACAGACCTGGAATAAGGTTTACGGGTAAACCACCACGTGGCATCCACAAATAGGGCTAATGCTAGCTGCATTGTCAGCTGAGCTGGAGTCACCAGGTATCTCATAGGAGTTTCACTTGGCAAGCAGAAGGGACCAAGTGGACTTGCTTACATGGGTAGGGGATGCGGATCCACGGTGAACTAGCCATGATGTCCCCTCGGGCATCAGTTCGTGCCTGGAAGCCATAGGCTGTGGGATCTGAAGGCAGCACATCGGTCAGGGTCAGCACATAGCAGAGGAGCCACACCGTCATGATGGCCAGCACGATCTGGAGCAGGCGGGGTGAGGGGTGTTGCAGGCACCAGAGATCCGGTACAGACTAACCGCTCCTGTGTCAGCCCCAGAACCCTGGCTGGCTGACACTCAGCCTCTGGCTGGAGCCCCTGCGCTTGCCCCAGCCTTGGCCCTGGCTCAGGGCTTGCCCCTTTCCTGGTCCTTACCGGAAACATCTTAAAGATCTGGACGCGGAAGAGGGTGAGACCCTTGCCCCATCGATAAACAGGCAGCAGGAAGGTGAGGTTGCGTAGGTACTGGGAGAACAGGACGATCAGTAGAATGGAGCTGGGGGCAGAGACACAGGAAGGAAAGAGCTGGTAGCCCAGGCTGGCGCCTGGAAATGGCAGGAATGAAGGGCTTGGGGGCAGGGCCTAGGATTGGGTAGAAATAGTCCTGTTGCCTGCTCACCAAGCTGAAATGCCCCAATGGGAGCCAGCTCGGTCACCAGCAGCTTGGAAAACAGAGAGACCAATGAGGGAGACAGTGGGGGTGACCGTGAGAGGCCCAATGTAGCTGAGCAGGGCCCCAGGCAGCCCCATCAGCCCAATCACCACCTCCACCATGCTGGACACCATGATTGCACCCTGGACCTAAAAAGGCAAAATCGTCTGTAAGTCACCTTGACCTGGCCACTATCGGAATGTTCAAGTTTCTAATCACCTCCTTGAATAGAACTCAGCAGTGCATACAAACCACCCATCTAGCCCCTCTTCCGAGCGAGCCCAGTCTCTCTACCCACTTCTCGAATCCGAGGATGCCAGATATGAGAGGTATCCAGGGGCATACTCCAGTTACCATAGATCTCCTCTAGGGACAGAGAAGAAGAGAACAGAGAGCCGTGAATACACCCTGGTATCTAGACTCTGGGCATTAGCTCAGGCCTCCAAGACTTCTCCTCCACCATAGACATCAAGATTGAACCCACCTTTTGGGGGACACTTCCACCTCTCCAATGCCAGGATAGCTTTGGCTGGAACCAGAAACGCAAAGGCACTGGCCTGAAACAGCGGCAGCCTGGAAGGTGGCACAGAGTGGCAGTGGTGGGTGGTGGGATGGGTTGAGGAAAAGAGAATAAAGGCTAGAGGGTTAGCAAAAAGAAGGGCCAGAGGCCCTGAAGGGAAAGCATTGAGGCCCCAGGGGCACTTCATCAATTCAAACCCTGTGCTTTGTCTTGGGCCCTCCATCTCAACCCCCCGCCCCCGCCCCAAACCCGGGAGAGCCATGTGCTCAAAAGCAGACCGCTCCATTTCTGCATCCGAGGGCTGCTTGCAACTGTTCGCATCCGCCACCACTGAGCCAATTCAGATTAGAACTGTTCATCCGGGGCTAGGAATCCCCCAGGTCCACATGGATGCTGGAAGCCTGCTCACAGGGATGGGCAGTGGGACAGGGAAGCAGTGCTCCTAAACTTTGGAGTAGGGAGCGAGAGAGGGAGAAACCCTAAATCATGGGCTCCCTGGGAGCGCAGCTACCTAGCTCTAAGGCTGGCCAGGTAGATAGTGCAGCAGACAGGGAAGAAACCAGATGCCTGACAGGGAAGAGACCACCTGTTCTGCCATGTGCAAGCATGCAAGTGTATGCCTGCATGTGTGCGTCTGAGCTGGGGAGGGGCAGCTCACCGAATGCCCACTGTAGTCTGGATGAGAGTGGTGATACCCACACAGGTGAAGATGGTGCCGATGAGCTGACTGACCATGTGCTGGTCACTGCCCACACACAGCGCCTCAGCCAGGAGGAAGGGCACAGCGATGGTCCCACTGAAGCACGTCAGGTAATGCTGAGGTGACAGGAGTCTGAGAGGTGGCCCCACAACCCTCAGGTGCAAACCTGCACCCCGGGTCAGTGTCCTGAGCCTGGACCATACCGACAGGGTGCTTATCCAAATGACATTACCCCTAGGGATTACCAGAGAGCTACTGCTCACCATTCAGGGGTCACCAGTGTCCCCAGGTTATTCCTATGGCTTCAGTGAATGGACCCTTCCTGTCATATGCCACTCACAATCCTCCCGGGCCACTTAACCTTCTTTGTCACTGCTGCTTGGTGACAGTTACCATGCTGACCTTGTTTCCTTCCTAGCCTGAAGTGACCTTTTGTCCGGGGAGGGTTTGGGATATCTAGGGAGGATACCATGTATGGCCGAGCGAGAGGCCTTGAACAAACCTACCTGGAAGCCCAGCAGGATGCACAGGTACCATGGTGGCACATCCTCAATCTTGTACAGCATGTCAGACTTGGGCTCCATGGGCAAGGACACCTTCCGGTCCCTGGTGGAAATCTCTGCTGAATCCAGGGACTCATGCTGAGGCAAGAGAGAGCTGCAGCTCAGGGCAGTGATGAGCAGGCAAGACCTATGCTGCCTGGACTAAGGGAGTCCCAGTGGCCTTCCAGCAATTCCATGCAGACGGGCTGCAGCAGCCTCCCTCCACAGCAGATGGTCACTGCTCCATCCCACATCCAGTTTAGGGATGAAAGCACTACCCTGGCTTCTAGAGCCTTTAATCCTTAGGCTCCTAGTGAGGCCCCTAAGTCAGAAGGCCGGAAGGTACCAGACCAAAAGGCCCAACGGGGAGAGAGGTCTAGGCTTTGGATAAGCCTCCCTACCCACCACCCCCATCCCACCTCTACCTCGGGGGGGGGGGGGCCCTTGAAGGTGCCGCGGGGGTGGGGGTCAGCCCTTACTGACCTCCTAAGATCAAGTCAGCCAGTCCCAACCGAAGGCTCCCTCCCTCCCACCCCGTTCCTGAGTTCCCAGCAAGGCCCAGCCCCCCCCCCATGGCCCTGTCCAGCTCCCCACTTCCCAAAGCACCTGTGTTGGGCTCCTGGGCTCCTCCTGAGCTCTCATCTCTGAGACACAGGTTTGAGAAACTTCTGAGGAGAAAAGAAAAGGGCTTTACCAAGGCCAAGGAGGACTTTACCCGTACATCAGACATTGTTCAAAGTCAATCTGTAACCAGGTCCATAGCTCCAAATTGCGAAAGGGAGACTAGGGCAGAGGTAAGGTATTAACTGTGGCTCCAGTGGTAAGAGCCACACAAGAACCTTCTCAATACTCTCTATCCTACCCGCATCCAAGCCGGGCCTTGTTTCCCTAGGGAGGGCCAGAGTCTGCGCAGGGTGAAGAGGGGACAGTCAAAGGAGATGGCATGCGAGGAAAGAGTGGACATGACTCATCACCCTCCTCACAAAGCCCTCTACATTTGTTAATAGAAGTTAATCTTATCATTATCACCGCTCTGCTTTCGGGAACACAATCAAATGCCAATATCTGTATTTGTATATCCACTGTCATATCTCCCTTCTGGGGCTGCGTGACATTAACTCTTTCACTGCTGAAGGAAAAAGACTTAGTAGTGATATGACCAAGGCCAGAAAGGAAGTGAGGTTTCAGAAAACCGGTGCTAAATTCAGATTATTTTTGGTCCCTTCCCTGGCAGCCTTCACCACATATGGTCCCTGAGGCATATGTAGCCCTGTGTAGGCCTGTGTAGCCCATGCCCTGAGTCAGGGTGAGGATTCCCCGCACACATTAGCCAGGATGAGCTACTCAGTTTATGGGACCATGTGAAAATGAGAGAGGGGCTCTTGTTGCAAAAGTGTTAAGAATTTTGTTTGGTCTAGTGGTTAATACCTGTAATCTCTATATTCAGAAGGCTGAGGCAGGCGGACCACAGTGAGTACAAGCCTGTATAGGATGTTCCATCTGGGCCAGCCTGGACTATATACAAAATATATAATACCTTACATAGCAAAATCCTCACTGAAAAGTCACAGAAAAGAACTAACTAGATGGCTCGTTAGGTAAAGGCACCAAGCCCAATGACCTGTTTGGCCTCTGAAACCTACGTGGTTGAGGGAGAGAGCTGACATCATCCATGGGTTGTCTTCTGACCTCCACCTGTACTCCATTGGCACGAACATCCAAACTCAGACAACACACACACAGACACAAACTAATAATAAATACAAATCCGGAGGCTGGCAAGACGGTTCAACAGGAAAAGGCACGTGTTGCCAGCCTGATGACCTGAGTTCAGTCCTCTCTCCAGGACCCACATGCTAAAAGAGAATTGACCCTCCCCACACATACATCATTGCACATGCTCAAGCACACACACACTAAATATAACTTATTACTTTTTTAAAATAACAGAAAAGTTGGGTATGATGACACATACCTGTAATCCCAGCATGAGGGAGGTTCAGGCCAGAAGATAAGGAACTCAAGACCAGCCTCAAACATCCTTGGCTATGTAAGACCCTGTCTTGGTAGCTCATGCCTTTAAAACTCAGCACTTAGGAGGAAGAAGCAGAGGCAGGCAAATTTCTGGGATTTCAAGGCCAGCCCAGTCTACAGAGTGAGTTCTAGGACAAGGCTACATAGTAAAACCCTGTCTCAGAAAATAAAATAGAAAAACAACAAGCAAACAAAAAAAAACTATCTTACTGGGCGGTGGTGGTGCATGCCTTTGATTCCAGCACTTAGAAGGCAGAGGCAGGTGGATCTCTGTGAGTTCAAGGCCAGCCTGGTCTACAGAGAGTTCCAGGACAGCCAGGACTACACAGAGAAACCCTGTCTTGAAAAACAAAACCAAACTAAATAACCAAAACCAACCAAACAAAAACCAACTATCTCAAAGGGGTTAAAATAAAAATAGCAGAACATTAAATTGAACACGAGACTTTCCTTTCTAAGTGTTCCATTCTATGTTCACTCTATGCCTACATTTCTTTTCCTAGCTGGCCTAGGCTAGAGCTCGAGTGCTAGCCGAGGCAGTCACAAGGATCCAGGGGCCGATTCAGTTGGCAGGAGCTGGGCCTGGGGTCAGCTCCTGCTTCCGTCTGGTTACCATAGTCCCAACCACCCCTGGAGCTACCTACGTCTTGGTTGCTGTGCCCATGGCCAGGCTGGGATACAGTGGCACAGGCCAGGCTGGGGGCCCACAGGCAGCCCAGCTCTCCAGCTGGGCAGTAGCTTCATGGCTGTCTTGAATGCAGTACTTTCCAGTCTATCCCTTTCACTCCACTCTCTTCTGGTTCCTCCTCTGAGGTTCTCAAAGTGGTCTGACCTGTTGGACCTCTGCAGCTCCACCCAGTGCTCTGCAGGTGGCGGAGAGGGAGAGCCCCTACCCCCCCCCCCTTCAATCATTGCTCAATTCAGCCCAAACCTCACCAGGACGTGTGCATTACAAGGCTTGAAAATGCCCAGTGCTAGGGCAATGACATCAGCACTCCAGTGATAAAGTCTTTAAAACAGTTAGGTAGTGTAACCTCAGAGACCAAAATGACCACCTCCCTGTGGTCAGCTTTGGATCCCACCTTCTGTTTCTCTGGCGATACTAGGGAGCTAAAAATCAGTTTTGCACTTAAGGCTCCTTAAGGCTACAGCTTAAGAATAGAATACCTCTGGCCTGGAGTGGAGACATGACATTCTGATATGCTCCAAAGATTAGAACACTACCTATTGTTTCTTCTCAAGAGTTAGTTAGTAGTCCAAGACTAGCTGACATGTGGCTACTCCTTTAATGCCAGCACAAGGGAGGCAGTAATATTTACTGAGTTTCAGGCTAGCCAAGAATACACCCTGTGTGATGGCTGTTCTTGGTGGTCGACTTGACTACACCTGGAATTAACTAAAACTGAAATAGCTAGGTACATCTGGGGATTTTTTCCTTTCATTTCTTTTTTTTTTTTTTTTTTTGTTTGTTTGTTTGTTGTTTTGTTTTGTTTTGTTTTTACATGTGTTAGTGTTTGGCCTGTATGTATGTCTGTGTAAGGGTGTCATATCCCTTGGAACTGGAGTTACAGACAGTTGTGACCTACCATGTGGGTGCTGGGAATTGAACCACTGTACCATTGCTTCAGCCCCGGGCTTTTTCTTAATTACATCATTTGAAGTGGGAAAACCCACCTTCACTGTGGATCTCCTGAGGTGGGAAGACCCACCTTTAATCTGGGCCACGCCTTCCCTTAGCAGCCTATGCAAAGGGCAGGAAAAAGGCGGCTTCGCCCCTCCCCTGCTTGCTCTCCCTCTCACTGGCATCAGAGCCTGCTTCTTTGGGATTCTGGCAGACACTGAGGACCAGCTGAGACACCCATGATCCTGAACTTGATTCTTGGACCTTCCTTTGGTAGACAGTCATTGTTGGACTAGTTGGGCCACAAAGCTACAAGCCATTCTAATATGCCCTGTCTAGATAGATATTCATTGTATAAACGCTCTTCCTGTAGAGATCCTGACTAATACACCCTATGTGGTGGTTTGAATGACAATGGCTCCCATAGGCTCTTGTGTTTGGATGCTCGGTGACCAGGGAATAGAAGTGTGGCTTGTTGGATAAGGTGTGTCATTGGGGATGGGGTTTGAGGTTTCCCAAACCATGCCCAGTCTCTGTCTCTCCTCCTGTGTCTGTCTGTCTCTCTCTCTTCCCCCTCTCTGGTGGTTTGAATATGAATGGCTTCCCCTAGGCTCACATATTTGAATGCTCAGTTACCAGGATAAAAAGGTGTGGCTTTGTTGGAGGAAATGTGTCAGTAGGGGCAGACTTTGAGTCTGCCCACCCTAGGCCAAGTTTCTCTCTGCCTGCTGCCTGCAGATCAGGATGTAAAGCTCTCAGCTACTGCTCTAGTGTCAAACCTGTCTGCTTCCCGCCATGATGGTGGACTGTCTTAGTTAGGGTTACTATTACTGTCACTGAAAGACCTAAAAAGTAATGTTAATGATGGACTAACCTGGAAACCAATTCCTTGGAATTTGCTAGCTTCCTCTCACAAGGCCCTGAGATAAGAATTCACACTGCCCCTCCTTTCCAGTGAGTCAACAGATGGTAAATAAGGTCAAGAGATAGCTGTAACTCTGGTTTTCCCAGACAAGATTAATTAACACACCTGAAGCCCTAAGGTCTGCTGACCCTAATAGCGAGACCATCCGGCCTCCAAGGGTCACGTACTCAATGGACAGAGGGTCCCACCCCCTCCCTAAGCTTGTGGGTTTGCCTTTAAAAACACCTGGGCCCAAGGGAGGGGGCTTCTCCCTAGCCTGCATGCTGGAGGAGCCCGTTTGCGCAAACGTTTCCTGTTCATTAAAGCCTCTTGCGTTTTTGCAGCAACTGGACTGGACATTGAGTTCTTGGGGTATCGACCGAACCTGGAAGACTCCTCATTCTGAGGGTCTTACAGTCACAAGGCACCATGACCAAAAGGAAAGTTGGGGAGGAAAGGGTTTATTTGCAGTTCATCAATGAAGGAAGTCAGGGCAGGAACTCAAACAGGGCAGGATCCTGGAGGCAGGAGCTGATGCAGAGGCCAAGCAGGGAGCTGCTTACTGGCTTTCTTACCATGGCTTGCTCAGCCTGCCTTCTTATAGAACCCAGGACCAGCAGCCCAGGGATGGCACCACCCACCACTGATCACTAATTGAGAAAAGGTCTTACAGCTGGATCTTAGGGAGGCATTTCCCCAGCTGAGGCTCCTTCCTCTGTTTGTACCAAGTTGACACACAAAACCAGCCAGTACACAGACTAACCCTCTGAAACCATAAGCAAGCCCCAGTGAAATGACTTCTTTTTAAAGAATTTCCTTGGGGGGGAAAGGATAGGCACTGGTGGTGCATGCCTTTAATCTCAGCACTCAGGATGCAAAGGCAGGTGGATCTCCGTAAACCAAGTTTCTGTCCCGTCTGGTCCTACCACCCTTCAGCCCCAAATAAACACACTGAGGCTGTATTAATTAGAACTGTTTGTCCAATGGCTCAAGCTTCTTATTGGCTACTTCTCTCTTGATTATTAACCCATTCCAATTAAACTATGTATTGCCATAGGCTGTGGCTTACCTGTAATCTGGCGTGTTACTCTTTCGACAGCATGGTGTCTGCCTTCTTCTCCCTAGGTAGCCCTGCCTATGCTTCCTGCCTGGCTACTGGCCAATCAGTGTTTTATTCATCAACCAATAAGAGAAACATATACACAGAAGGACACCCCCCCCCCATCAGATCTCTCGTGAGTTCAAGGCCAGCCTGGTCTACAGAGAGAGTTCCAGGACAGATACAACCGTTGCACAGAAAAACCCTGTCTCAAAAAACTAAAACAAACAAACAAACAAAAAAAAAAGACCCCCCCCCAACACACACAATGAGTAGACGTGAGTAAACCCAGCTGGGTCTATCAGTCACCTTGCCAAGAGCCTCAGGAAGGCTAAAGAGATGGAGGAGTAATAACCCCCTGCATGAAACACTGTCCTTCCAGAAACCAACTTCCTCAGCACAACCACTCTCAGAGCCTCTGCCATAGAACCTGCCTGCTTTTCGGAGGCCTAACTCAGAAAATTATAACCCTACCCATTTTGGAGGCTAGCCCAAAGCCTAATTGTGCTTTCCTTGACACTCCACAAAGGGTAAATTACTTACAAGCCTCAGGTGTACTGAAGCTCTGAACAGGAGAGTTGACTTGACTGATCACAGGCATGGAAGTGTCTGATAAGGAGATGACCCACCAAAAATAAAATGGTTTTAAATAGACAAAGAGGAACTGGGTGTGGTGGCACACACCTTTAATCCCAGCAATTGGGAGACAGAGGCAAGCAGATCTCTTGTGATTTGCAAAGTAAACCTGGTATGCAGACTAAAATTCCAGGACAGATAAGAGTTACACAGTGAAACCCTATGTCAAAAAATAAAAAAAAATAAAATTAAAATAAACAGTAATAATAAAGCCACATAAAGATAAAAAGCTCAGAGAAAATCTGGTTACTGTATGCTATTGTGTTGTCTCTGCATTGTTTGACTGCTGAGAAAATAACAACAACTGATAAAGAAAATGCTGCTACATTAATTCAATTTATATATTTTAAAAATGCTTTGACTCCAACATTTAAGTTGAAGGACAAGTTACTGGGGAAAAGGATTTCTATTTTTGTTTCTACAGAAAATAAAAAGCTGTGGATTCCTTCCAGACTAATGTGGTTTGAGCAAGCCAGACCCCCTGAAACAGAGTTCCTGATGATCCAACATTCAAAACAGTTTGAACAAGGCAGACTTACAGATTACAGCCAGGATTTCTACATCTTCTTAGGATCCCCACGACAGCGCCCCCTATCAACAGAAAGTAGTTTGGAAAGAACGACGCCCAAATTCCCAAATATTGTTTATAAATGTTTGTTTTCATTTAAATGGGCTTGGTTATAAATGGTTAATGATCACAGCCAATTCTTTTTAAAGGTAAAAAGGAGATTATGATATAGATATGAATACTTTGTTTTGGAATGGATTTTCATTTATTGATACAATTTAATGTCAATTTTGTGATATGTATATTTCTCCTCTTGTTTAGGTATCGTGTTTATTGAGCTCAGTTAGAAATGTAATGTACAATATAGTACCGATTATAGATATAGATATAGATTATAGATAATTACCTATGATAGTCAAAGCTTAGAGATTAGTTAGGCATTCTTCAAACCTTTCAAAGACCTACAGAATATGGCATTTAAAATGTTTTAGGGTTTTTCTTGACAGTGAGACATAATTGCTCCTGGCAACGCCACCTGGGTCAGAAAAGAAGATGGACATGGAAGAAACGCGTTATGGAGTTTGCTTCCAGTATGGCAAGACTAGCCATTTGGACAAGATACAGCTCTTGTCTGGACTGTTTGAGTTTATGCTGTATAAACTGGACATGCACGACCCACAGAAAAGTGATTGCTGATTCAAGATGGACATTGCTACAGAGTTTCTGCTTCATGGAAGAGTCTGCCAGACAGTCTGCAGGACACAGAAAAAAGTGATGGACAAACTGCCAATACAAGAAGACAGTTTAAAGTCTCCTGCATTGCTAAAGAGTCTGCCAGACACACTATGGCCTATGGGCTGAAGATGGAAGATTACAAAAGAACTTCGGGTGACCAGGCAGTGAGTTGTCTCTGTCATTTCTAGAGCTTATATACTATCCTTCTGTGGTCTTTGAAGGAGTTGAAGACAGATAGTAATGATTATAGTTTTCCTTAGTTGGATTAAAGATAAGTTACATATAGGACTTTAGACTTACAAAGATGGAATAGATGATGGAATAGTTTCTTAAATCTTGATAAATGTTAATGAACTAAATATTGTTAACTGTGATTCTTATTTGGTAACTGTTGTGTTATATATTTTGCTATGTTAAGGTTAAAACCCTTCTTTTTATTTAAACAGAAAAGAGGAGATGATGGGAGATGCCATTATGTATATATGTTTCTCATACTGGTTAATAATAAAGCACTGTTGGCCAATAGGAAAGGAAGATAGGAGGGACTAGGACACAAGGAGGAAATAGGAAGTAGTAAGGAAGAGTCAAGATGGAGAGTCTGAAGAAAGCAGTATGCCGCCGGCTCCCCGGTAAGAGAAATACATAGATCAGCAGAAATGGGTTAATAATTAAGGCAGAGCTAGCTGATAAGAAACAAGTAACCAGGCCAACAGTATTGTATCAAATACAGAGTCTCTGTGTATTATTTGGCGGCATGGCGGCGGGACAAGACCGGGAGGCGGCAGGCGGAAAAACCCATACACGTTACACCCACTGGCATCTGCCACCTCCAGACTGCAGGGGAGCTGACCCAAAGATGGGCTTTTCCTCCCTCAAAGTGGCCATTTCACCATCCTATTAAAGCCCAAGATCCCACACTAGAGTTCAGATGCCAGGCTGCAGCATTTCTGTTGTTCTGATTAAAGAACAATTTGACTTCTGGAGAAGTCTGCTGCCCCTGTGTAGCCCTGTTCCCCTTTGTAAATGCTTGCAAACCTCCATTGGTGATATCTGCTGTCTTGGGCCCTGACTTCAAAGGTGTGGTTATTTCTTCCTCTTCTCCTCCCTCTGAAGCATCTGCTGAGATTTACAGAGTCAAGCCCTGTTAGGGACAGGTACAATTTAAGCACAAACACATATATCAGGCAGACAGGAAACCAGATTATGGACAGTTGGAAGGTAGGAAGAGAAATAGAGAATTCAAATTTGGGCTCAATCTTGACCAAATTGATTCAAGAGGAAGCTGCTGTGTTTTCACTCCTTAATTAATCCACATAGTAGGTTATTAGGGATCCAGAGCAGTACCCAGGGTAATAAGTAAACTAGAAAGGCAAAGTGGGTACCTTTCATCAAGCCCTGCCAAGGTATGCCACTAAGCAAACATGCCACTAGCCACTCAAAACAGTTAGTGCAAGAGGTTTATTGGCAGAGGAGGAAGAGTGAAAGGCACATTGGAGTGTGGACATGAAAGATGCAGGCAGGCAGGCAGCAAAGAGGGGCAAGAAACAAGAAGAGCAAGGGAAGCAAGAGGAAGGCAGAGGAGGAAAGAACAGGACTGAGAGGTTAAGAGCACTGGCTGTGCTTCCAAAGAACCCGGTTCAACTCCCAACATGCAAATGGCAGCTCACAATTGTGTGTAAACTCCACTTCCAGGGGATGCAACACCCTCACACAGACATACATGCAGGAAATACATTGTACATAAAATAGAAATAAACTACTGTTTAAAAAAAAAAAGAGAACAGGCAAGAGAGGAAAGGAAGCAAAGAGAGACCCAGGACAAGAGAGGAAGCTGTGCCTGGCCGGCACTTTCAAGGGGCACATGTCCCACAGCTGACAATGGAAAGACACCTGGCGACAAGTGGTGACAAACTGCTTTGGTGGCAGAGGCTGCTGCTGCTTGAGACACCCCAATTCCTCCAGCGGCCAACACTGCTCCTACCTTAAGTCTGAAGCCACTCCCAGTCCAGACTTCACTCAGTCTGTTGTTGCTTGTCAGGTCCCAAAGAAACCCTGACAGGGATCACTCAGGACCTGTGGCTCCTTCCCACCCCCTGTCCTAAATCTGTCCAGCCCAGGGCTGGGCTTCCCTTCTCTTCCCCCAGATCCTTAGTCCTATATAAATTTGCCATCCTGGTCATGTGTTCTCTTGGACCTTAACTCCTGGTCCCCCTTCTTGCCTCTCTCTCGGTGTCTATCACTCCCCCAACCTCTTCTCATGGCCCAGTTGAGTCTGGACCTTTCCAGATGCCTCTGGCTGTTCTCTCCCTCCTATCGACAATAAAACCCTTCTAGACCATATCTTGGGGCAGTCATGTCCTCATCCCAGATGAGCCTCTATTGTCTAGTCCATGGCTAGGTGGCCACAAGGTGGCTAGCTGCCCTTTCCCTTCTGAGGGATCTAAAGATCTGGACTGTTTGGCCCTAGTCTGGAACCATGTGACTGGATCCCTTCCTAGCTTGCTCACATTTCCAACCATGCCAACTCTCTTCTAGGTAGGTAGAGTGATATGCATTTGGCCTTCTGCGGGAAGGACTTAAACAGAGACACCAATGTCTCCCACTACCCCATCCCCAAGCCCCTTTACAGAGGATTCAAGGTCACTGAGCTTTATTTGAAAGTAGGCCTTATTCATCATCAACTCCAGTGCCCCAGGGAGGGGTGGGGGAAGAAGATTGACAGCAGGAGCTAGGCTTCCCTGCCCCCTCCCCACCTGCACTGGAAGGCTTGGAACAGTCACGGCAGCATTTTCAAGGCTGAGGCTGGAGGACAAGTTCAAGGCCAGCCTGTGCTACATAATGAGACCCTGTCTCCAAACAACTGTTAATTATAAAGAGAGAGAAGATCCGGTGTCCTGGCTGGCACTAAAGCTCTTCTCTTGGGTTCTCAGGTGAGCAGGGCCCCTGAGGGCCCCCACACAGCAGTGCCTCCAGAGTCTCATGGCCTTGACGGTAGGCTTCATAGATCTGGTCTTCTCCAAACTCTCCCAGGTACTGGAAACATGTCATGGAGAGCCTAAGGGAGCAATAGGCACCTTGAACTGTAACCTACTCACAGCGAAGTTAGGGGGAAAACCAGGACTCGGGGACTCCTCCCCCACCTTGTCATACCTATTGGGCCAAGGACCCCCAGTAATCATCACGCTGATGGGTGGCTCTGTCCCCTTGCTGAGTCCTGGGCCCATGAGATGCTTTATCTGGTTCACTTCTTGGACTCCATAGCTAATGGCAGTGGGAAGCAAGGGGTATAGGATCAACAGGGGCCTGGCCAGGGAGGGACTTGTGACCTTTCGGTGGCCATCTGTTCTACTTGCTCCCGAGCGTAGCTCTAGCCCAGATTTCAGCCCAGTCAACCTCCTCCCTCAGGCTGGAGCCTACATGGAACAGGCATGTGGCGTCAATGCAAGGATGGAGGTCTGTGCCCACCAGCCCTACCCTTAAGAAGGTGGCAGGGCCTTGACAACTCACGACTGCCAGTTCTGAGAGCACGTCCGGTCCAGGACATCGGTGTATATCGACTCACTCAGCTCCTGCAAGCCACTTGACTCTGGAGATTTAGCCTCTGCTCTTGCCAGATGCTGCCCCATCTAGAATGAGGAGGTGCTGAGAGCCAGGACTTTGGGACTGCTGTCAATTGGGAGAAGGAGGGAAGGACAGACACCCAAGTCTCTGGGGAGACCGAGGTGGCAAAGGCGCTGTTGAGCAGGAAGCACCTGTGAGTCAGGCTGCTCTGAGCCCCAAAGCTAGGCTGGGCCAGCTCAGGCAGGACCTACTTTCCTGGGGGGAGGGGAGGAAATACTGTGTGAAAGACCTGGCCCCTCTTTCAGAGCACACTTGCTATTTTTAAACCACGAGAACAAGGAAAGCCAATAATAATGACAATAGTAAGCAAAATAAGCAGAGGCCAGTCTTTAATAACACATGTGTCACCCACCCTGAGTACATACAGAAACATGGTCACACAGGCACACTTAAGAGAGGCGAGTATAGTGGGTTCACACAGCTACACATATACCCAATATGCATAAAGTAAAGGCATCTCCAGGGACCCGGGAGGGTGTTAAGAAGCAAATGGGCACAGATGAGGAATCTAAGAGGATGAATGATTCTCTGGTGTGACAAGACAAGATGTAGGCACCTTAGATTACCTGTTCTTGGGTGACCAGGCAAATGGATAAATGGAGGCATGGCAATTCAAGTGAAGGGGGCTGGAAAATGCCATGGGGAGATTGCTGCCTGGGGCTGAGGGCTGGGGACTAAAGGCCAATGGTGGCAGAGTGGTCTAAGGACTGCCGAGGGACAGGCGGAACTTACTTGGTAGGCCACAGCCCGGCAGGCGTCACAGCGCAGGTGAGCAGGCATGTAAGATGCATACTTCTCTTCCTCATCCAACACTGGAGCCGTAGCGGAGAGTGAAGCCCTATCCCCGAGGCTTCCCAGGATAGCCCTGCACCCAAACACTAGCAGCAGTGGCAGGGGCAGCCTCATGGCCTCTGAAGCATGCAGTGTGGTTGGGGTGCAGATGCGTATTCGAATTATCTGTGGCTTAGGCCAATAGGGAACCGACACCTCACTGGCCCTCTTCCCTTCCCCCATGGCCCTACAGATGCCACGTATGCAGTTCCCATAGTGGGACCTTGGTTCCAGCCTTCTCAGCCCCATTTCACAGGTAGGGGGATGAAGGTGCAGAGAGAGAGGCTGAGGCTGGGTAAAGATGCAGGCAGGCGCTGGGGGTGGGGTGATGGATCTTGTACTGTGAACTGATCAAGTGGTAGGGGCTGGACTGGACTGTTGAGCATCCTGTGGGGCGAGGTGGTTGCTTAGAGTCACCTTTATTCTACTGCAGAGGGTGTGAAAGCTCAGAGAGAAGAGACAAATCCTCCTGCTAGAGGAGCCATGTTGACAGTAGTCCCCAATGCCTGCTGGTCACTCGGTACCAGGAGGAATGTGGCCATGGTTTCGGTTGCCAACCTAAGGCTCTCACCATGGTGAGGCAAAATTATTGAGTCTCGATGAGGACAATATATAGGAGCATACATATTCTCCTTCTCCAGCCCTGGGGTCCCCTTCATCCAGGCCAGAGCCGGGCATGGAAGAGTTTCATGGGGTTGTTTAAGAGGCAGCAAGCTAGCTGTGCCTGGTGGTGCACACCTTTAGTCCCAGCACTAGGGAGACAGAGGCAGGTGAATGAATCTCTGTGAGTTTGAGGCCAATCTGCTCTACAGAGGGAGTTTCAGAACAGCCAGGGTTGTTGCACGGAGAAACCCTATCTCAAAAAAAAAAAAAAAAAAAAAAAAAAAAACTCAGCAAGCTGGAAATGGCTCAGTGGTTAATAACGAATGCTTCTTTTGCTGAGGGCCTGGGTTCAGTTCCTGTCACTCACATACCGATTCACGCCATCTGTATCTTCAGTGTCAGGGGATTCAATGCCCCTTTTGGTTTTCACTGCCTTAAGCATGCATGTGGCGCGCACACATAAAATAAAAATTTTAAGTGTTATTTATTTATATGGCTTCTTTGAGACAGCTCTGGCTGTGTAGATCAAGCTGGTCTTGAACTCAAAGAGATCCATCTGCCTCTGCCTCCCTCATGTTGGAATTTAAGGTGGGTACACCATTCCAGGAAATGTTTGGTTTTTGGTTTTTTTTTTTTTTTTTTTTAAAGTTAGCAGCAGGAAATAAGGATCACACACTAGTTATTATTTCAGTCACCATGGCTCTCCATGGTCAGCCATTTATTGCACACCGGGACAAGATGATGCACCCTAGGGGCTGCCTGGTCCCTCTATGCCATTGGGATCAGTGTCTGTGGCAGAGATATCCAGGTTGTTCTGACTCAGTATTTTGGCTGATTTCCAGTCTAGGGCTAGGCTCTTGGTAGAGGACCCAAAGGATCTTGGCTGCATAGCCTTGGAACCAGACCCTGCTTCTAGTGGGAACGTCCCCAAACAGCCCTTCAGCAAGGTCCAGTCATATCTACACAGAGATACCTCCCACCTCACAGAGATGGTATTCAGTTTACCTCAGGTTCAGGGCAGACAGAGCAAGGGTTTAGGGTCTTATGCTGTGAGCAGCCTGAAGAATCAGTCTGTGTGGGCACTGTTGGCTCTGCATGGAGAATGAAACCAGCTAATGTGTCATATAGGACACTTTAACCATGCCATATAGGAACATCCTTCCTCTTGCCAGTTTTTTTGTTTTTGTTTTTTGAGGCTGTCCTGGAACTCACTTTGCAGATCAGGCTGGCCTCAAACTCATAGAGATGTCTCTGCCTCTGCCTCTGCCTCTTCCTCCTGAGGTGTGCACCGCACCGCCAGGCCTGGCTCTCTTCTCAGCTCACACCCACCTTCCAGAGCACACTCCTTTTATAACAGTAACACCCAGCCTTCCTTATCTTGTCATCCTGGAGATTCAACTCACTTGCTTTCTACCTGGGTGGGGATAGCTTCGAGATGAGCCAGCTCAGCTCACTCAGAGGGTCTACAGAAGACAGACAATGAGGCTTGAGGAGGACTTGGGCTCTATGCTGTGGACTATTAGCAGTGGTCACACCATTTTATAAAGCCCTTCTTCCATTTTGGTTAAAAAGCCACAATTCCCAAAACTAATTTGTTTTTCTAGATTTTTGCCCTCTGTGTCCTGTCAATCTTCAAGGATGGCCAGCCAAGAGAAGTGTTTACCGATCACTTGATAGTCTTTAATTTGCCACATGTCCACTTGTCCCTATCACCCCTAGCAACCAACAGAAAGCCCAGACAATAATTTCACTCCCCTTCCTCATTTCCTAGGCCCTTCTTGTCCCTTTGGCTGTCTGTACAGGGAGCTCAGCAATCCTGGGCCATCTCACTCCCCCACATCTCCTTAAACAACATCCATGCTCCACCTCCACTTACTGTCCTCAGCTGCCATTCTGAGCCCCAAGCTGGCTTGGGGCCACACTACGTTCTCCCATAACCTCCCAGGACAAGACTCAAATCCAGATTTGATGGCTGTCATCCATCCTCTCCATCTCTGCAACACCCACTATCCTGCTCCACTCAACTGGGCCCAGTGTTAGGGAGACACAAACAGTTCACCCTCTCCATAGGCAGCCCTGGCCCTGCTACTCCCACACCTGCTATTCTGGGAAACCCCGACATCGACATCTCTTAGTGGTCTCACTTTGACATGCTTGCTTGCCTGTATGCACGCGCGCGCGCACGCGCGCACACACACATACACACACACACATCAAACCCTGGGAAGGTTTGGGAAAGGGATTTTTGTTGGCAAGGGATGTAGGCATCCAGGCACTATCAGCCCAGCACTATCAACCCAGGTAGCAGGTACATTCTCTTAAGGTCCCTTCTGGTTTGGTGACTGGCTAGAACTAGCCAAAGATTTGATGGGAGGAAAAATTAAGGGACTGGGAGCCAGAACTTCCAAAGCCTTCTAAGGAACATAACTCCACGGGGGTCGGGACCTGAGACTTCACAAAGGAAACACAGAACCCTTGCTGGACTGGATGGGACCGGAACTGGAGGGCGGAGCACAGAAGAGCATCGGTGGAGCTGGACTGGGGGTCCCGCTCAAGGGCATGTAGCACATCCCCTCCAGGGGCCCAGCCTCAGGGGCCCAGGGTAGCTGGAGACTGCCTAGGGGCGGTAGGTTAGGGGATGGCGGCGACAGTGACGAGCCAGGGATAGGCCCATAGGCTGGTGGATAGAGGCCCGGCCCTAGGGCCAGCGGGGCATAGGCCTGTCGTGGTGGCCGGGAGAGAGAGGGCGAGGGCGGCAGCAGCACTTCCACGTACTGCCCGCTTTCGGGGTCGAAGAGTAGCCGCAGCCTAGGTTGCCGCGGAGCCTCCACAAAGTAATAGCGACCGCTCTCCGGGTCTACGAGGACCTTCCCTGGCGGCGCGGCTCTTGGAAGCCTCCGCATCCCTTGGGAGGATGCAGGAAGTAGCCGGTCCGTAGGAGGCGCAGAGGCAGCTCGAGGGAGGGATGCAGCGGTCCTGGCCGCCGCCACCTGAGGCTCCCGTGGGAGGGGCGGCTGGACCGCAGTTACAGGATCCACAAGGGGTGTCTCCAATTCGGGTGTTGCCCCAAGGTTCGAGTTGGGACATGCCAGCGGGGAGCCAGGGACAGGAGGTTGGGTCCCTGCTGATCCTAATGGAGACCACTGGGTTGAAGTACGAGCGCCTCCTAGGGGGCTGGTCCGAGTCTCGAGGTCTGGGATCAGTCTCGGGGCCTCAGCATCCGGGTTTTCTCCCGCAGTACTTCGTCCTTGGACACTCGTGGTTTTCTCCCGTCGCCGGCTCAAGGCTAGAGCACCAGGCAGGCGGATCTCACTGCGCGCGAAAGGCTTCGCAGTGCTGTTCTCTGCTCTCCGCTTCAGGACCCCGCTGGAGTGGGAGACATCCTTAGGGGTTGCATGGAGTGAAGGCTCTGGAGACTCATAGGGGTGAGGTACTACCGGCAGAAAGTCCTTGAGAAAAATGGAAGTGTAATGAGCCGGGGCGGGTGACTCCAGCACCGGGAGCTCATGTGCTTTGGATGCATCTCCTCCCTCCCCGCAGGTGTCTGCAGGAGGCGCGGGAAGCCCGCAGCCTGGGGTTCCCGCAGGAAAGCTAGGAGCATAGGTGGTCTTAACCATCTTGCGCACATCTCGCGGCCGCGGAATGGTCACGCGTGGACGTCCAGAAGCCGCTTCTCCTGAGGCCAAGGCTTCTGGGCACACACCGTCTTCCAGGACGTTTGTGAGATGACTTCCGGGCGGTTCTGGTGTGTCTATAACTGGAGATGGCTGCCTGACTCTGTAGGCAAAATCCGCGTTTTCCCTTGTGAGCAGACACTGCGCCTCCGTGAGTTCTGGGGTCCCAGGTGCTGATGGTGTAGGCACCTCCAACTCCTGAGTTAGGCCGTTCATAGCTTCCTGACACAATATCATCGACGAATCCTGCACAATAGGACCCCGTGTCTCTCGGGGCGATGGGCTATTTGTTCCAATAGGATGATCAGGTGACTCCCGTGGGAGCAGGACTGGCAGGGACCGGTCCCTACTCCGCCCTGTTGCATCTCCACCTCTCGAATGCGGAACCTTCCACAGAGAAGGAGTTTCAGGATATGGGTTCCCCACTCTAGTGACACCCTGAGTCCACTGAGAAAGAGGTGGAGGGGAAGGGCTCCTTGTGCTGCTCAGGACTTCCTCGACGGCTGCATTCCGATTTTCCCATTCAGAGGATGCTTCAGGGCAGGACGGGCTACTCATTTTCCAAACAGTCCTATGAGGTCGTGAAAGGTTCTGGGGGGATGGGCAGCGACGACCCCGCACGGCCCCATTTGGAGCCTGCCGCGGAGGAGATGGGCTCCTCGGTCTCACAACCCTACTGGGAATCACCCGGGAGCTTCTGGGGTGGGAAGGAGGACTCCGTGCCCTCGGTATGGTTCGATCCGGAGTCTCACGAAGGAACTGCATCTTGGATTCCTGTTCGAGAGCCTGCTGGATTTTCTCCTCTGACTGCAGAAAGATGCTGGAACTAACTGGACCCAGCGGCTCGGTCCCGGGCGCCGGCTTGTCTCGCCGAATCGCTCGCTCTCGGAGGCTGGGCCAAGGCCGCGGGGCTCTGGCGGGGACAGAGCTATCGTGTGGGCGGGGTGGCCGAGACTTAGCCTCTTCAGGGACCACACGAGTGCCTCGTGCTGTCTCCTGAGGGTCCGTCGTGGGTTCTGGCTTCCCCGTGGGCCTAAAAGTGACATTGCTGGGGGCTGGGACCGCAGAGCCCAGTTTCCTGGCCAAAGCCGTCTGCACGATGCCCGCGGCGGCCTGCAAGCGGCTCAGAGACTCGTCCAGGGAGCCGGTGCGCAAGAGCAGTCGGGGACGCGGCGCGCGACTGTCCTGCGAGGGACTCCGAGGCCGGGGACGCAGCTCGATCTGCCGCTTCGGCACGGTGCGGGCTCTAACGGGCGCGGTGCGCTCCTCCAGGGCCACCTCCACACACTCATACTGGCCTGAGACGGCAGGACTCGGCACGCGGGGCGGCAGCTCCAGGTAGGTGGCCCAGCGAGAGCCCCCGTCGGGGCCCTGCGGCTGCGGCGACGCCGAGACAGGCGACGCTGACCGGGGCAGCGAGGGGCTGCTGAAGGCAGGCGCCATGAGCTGTTGCTCTTCCAGGCCCTCCGCGTCGGAGCGGCTGAACAGAGTCCCCGCGCCGAAGATGACTTCCATCTCCCCCGACGGCAGCATGCGCAGCTGGGGCCGAGGCGGCTGCGGGCCGGAGCCCGGGCCTCGCGGGAAACCCGAGCCGGAGCAGTGCTGCTGGCGGCTATTCTGGGCGCTGACGGACAGGACAGGCTGCGCGCCCGCCCCCCGCCCAGGGGCCACCCAGAGCCAAGTCCCCTGGCCTTCTGTGTCCAGCCCAACGTCCGGCGGCTCTGGAGAACCGGGAGCTGTGTGGTAGGAGCCGGACGAACCGGACGAATCCTGACGCCCCGCAGGGGCAGGCAGCCGCCTTGAGAGCCCAGGACGGGCTGGTGGGGCGAGCGCTGTCAGCATGGTGGGCAGGACACTTAGCACTACCTCCCGACAGTGCCTCCGTTAGTGGCTAGTCGCGCCTGCACTGTCCCCGCCCAGCCTGGATGCCGTGGGGTCATAGCGTCTTAAAGCGCCAGTGTCCACTGTCCAGGCAGCAAAGAGACCTAAGCCCTGGGCCCTACCAGGTGAAGCCCCCTTTGCCGAACTTTCTCCAGCACAGGTGGAATGTGGGGTAGGGGATCCGGACTTTGATTGGTGAAAGGAGCAAGCAGCTAGACAGACCCAACCCCACCCATCACAGGGGGTGAAACTCTGGCCTTGCAAGGGGTTATCTGAGGAGTTCAGGGTGTGAGATCTTGAAGTTTCCATATCCTCTGCCCTAACATCGCAAGGAAACTTCTCCATGGCTTCTTTAACTACAATCTGTATGCTTCCTTGACTTCCCTCACACCCACACGCCACCTTCACCTTCGATAGGGTAAGGAGAAACAGAATGCCTCTCCTAAGGTAGGTGCTGGCTAGACTCATCGCTTAAGCTGGAGTGAATGCCATCCCTAGCTAGCTTTCCCAAGCTGCTTAGCACCCAGAACAAACCTTGGGGACAAACCATCCATTGCAGGGTTCCCTCTATAACATTCCTTCTTTCCCAAGCAGGGGAGCAGCCACCAGCTGTCATTGTGACAATAGGGACATCACTTGCCCTTAACTTGGGGCTTGAAGGTCCTGCCATGACTCAGGCCCCAGCTGGCCCTCAGCAAGCACTGACCCCTCCTTTGCACTAACCCTCACACTGACCCAGCGCCGGCTAGACTTAACCAATTGTGTCTCGCGGCTCTTGTATATATCCCCACGATCACTTAGGGACATGAAGTGAAGACTTCTGAAAGGATTTAGTCTTTCATTCTATCAAGGCCTGTCTGAGCAACCTGAGCAGCCCATGGCCCTTTCCGTTTCCAATTTCAAGTTTTGTCACTTGTGAAGGTTTTTGTTTCAAAGTGTAAGAAGTTACAGAGTGATTTGTATGGCTAGTACATACACACGTGTTCTTTTATTTATTTGGTTTTGTGGTTTTGTTGTTTTTTAAGACAGGGTTTCTCAGTGTAGCCTTGGCCAGGACAGGTCCTTGCTCTGTAGATCAGGCTGGCCTCAAACTCAAAGATCTGTTTGCCTCTGCCTCCCAGGTGCTGGGATTACAGGCAGGTGCAGCCACCACCACCCTGCTCATACATATGTTATTACCTGGGTGACTTCTGGTTCTCAGATTCACTGTGGTCCTGGAATCCATTCTTTAACATGTCTGGTCAGGCTACAATAACATACATTCCCCCACACACTCCATTCTTCCCTAACCCTTATAGCCAACCCCAGAGAATCACATTTATTGGAGTTCAGGTTGGGTGTGAGTGGGCTCACCTGAGCTATGTGTGGAAAAAATGACTAACCACCAAAAGCAAGTAGCCGTTCCAGCTAGACCACAAAGACTCAGTTCCGTCAGCTCTACCCTATCCCAAAGAAATGCAGCAGCAGGGGCTGCACTTAAGTAAGTTTCCTTATAAGCTCAGAAGAGACTGTACAGTGGTGGCAGTCTCCAGGTCCCCAGACCTGTCCCCATGCAGCCCTTAGTGCCTTGGTTTGTTCTAGGAGGCAACAGGAAGAGCAGCTTTCCTTGGAGGGGTGAAGGACCCACAGGGATGGATGGGAAGAGCTGGTCTCCCCAGAACAGAGAAGGTAGAAGTTGGGCATTATAGCCAGAGAACAGGAAGGTAGCATTTTATTTTTCCCTGGGACACTGGCGGCTCCGGGGCCGACGCATCCCTGCAGCTTTCTTATGCTTCTGGTCCAGCACCTGGGCCATGTAGCTCTCCTGCTCCTTCTGGATCCGGAAGTCAGACATGTGATTCCTGCAATGGAGCCGTCTGGTCGTAGGCTGCACAGCCCTGGGCAGGGGCCAGAAGTCAGGCTCCCCACTTCCATCAACAACCCCCAAGCCTGGCCCAGCCCCTCACCTGAAAATCTGTTTCTGCTGGCTGATAACTTGCTGCAACTCTTTAATCTCATTCTCTTTGCCATTAAGTATATCTTCTTGCTTTATAATGTGAGACTCAATTTCTGTGGGGGAGAGAGGCAGGGAGGAGTGGTGGTTCCTATCTCTCAGGGCCCGCTGAGCTGAGGTCTTCCCTTGTGGGGCTTTTCACAACTTTGCTGCTCATGTGTTAATCCTTGAAGAGTTGCCAGTAACTCAGCATGCATGAGTTTGATTATCTGTACTAGAGACAGGTAAGTGCTCTACCGCCGAGCTATAGCCCCAATTTTATTTTATTTATTTATTTTTTGAGACAGAGTCTTTATACATAGCCCCATCTGTTCTAGAACCCCCTCTGTAGAGCAGGCTGGCCTCAGACTCAGAGAGCTGCCTGCCTCTGCCCCCTGAGAGGGGATTGAAGTTGTGCTAACCCTTTTTCTATCATTTTTTTTTTTTTTTTGAGACAGGGTCTCTCCATTATGTAGGTCTGGCTGTTCTGGAACTTGCCATGTAGATCAGGCTGGCCTCAAATGCAGGAGACCCACCTGCTTCAGCCTTCCAAGTGCTAGCTAGCATGCACCACCACGCTCATCTACTTTTTACTTGGTTTTGAAGCAGAGTCTCATTAAGTTGGCCAGGGCAGCCTTAAACTCACTCTATGACCCTGGTAGGCCTTGAGCTTTTGGTCTTTACTCAGTCTCCTGATTATCTGGGATTAGTGTTCACCCCAAGGCCCTTTGTCTAGAAATTGCAGCCTCTCCTCCTCCTGTTCCCCTTTCCAGCTCCTTTTCTCCTTGTGCCCATGTCTAACATATCTAATAAACCACTCATTTGTCTTTCTACAACTAGGACATAAGGTCCACAAGGACAGGGACTATTGTATTCTTCACTGTTACTCCTAAGACCTAAAACAGTGCTTGGTTCACAGATCTGTGTACTGTGGAACAGACGAACAAGAAGTCCTCTAAGGACTTTGGGACTGGAAGCATCAAGTTTGGCTACCTTAATTTACTGGACCTATTATGGGCAGAAAGGATGCTCAGCTCTATGCTATACAGAGCCTCTGGTGGGAGATGAGGTCCTTGATCCCATCAGACATGTGCTTAACTTCCCCAAAAGAAGAGTTAGGACTCAGGAACTTGAGGCTGGACAGATGGCTCCGAGGTAAAAAGCACTGACTGTTCTTCCAGAGGGCCCTGAGCTGGTTCCCAGCACCCATGTGGTTGTTCCTAAATATGTTGACTCTAGTTCCTGGGGATCTGGCACTCTCTTCTCACCTCCACAGGCACTAAGCACACACATGGTACACATACTATATGCAGATAAAGACATTCACACATATAAAATAAACCTAAAAAAACCCCAGAAACTACACTGAGGGTATTGGCACATGCCAGTGATCCCAGCACTTGGGAGGCAGAAGGAAGAGTATTAGGAGTCTAAGGTCTTCTACCAAGTATGAGACCATCCTGGGCTACCTATCTCAACAGAAAAAAAAATACATAAAAATAGACTCAGGAGCTGAAGGCTGGTGGTGTGGCTCATTATTAGAACGCTTGTTTACCATGTATGAGGCTCCCGCACCAAAGAGAGGAGAGACAGAGACCAAGAAGAGGGAGAGACACACAGAGGCAGGGAGAGAAGAGAGAGAGAGAGAGACAAGACAGAAACAGAGGAAAATAAAAGCAAATGACTGCCAGAGGACCGGATGAAGCCACACACTTCAGTGTGATGACGCTGGGTTAGCTGCTTTTTAGGGCCTGTTCCCTCATATGTAAATATCCCTCTTCCAAGGCAGCATGGAGGACAATGATGGAAAAGCTCTTTCCTAATTAAGCATGCATTCAATACAAATTTCTGTGTCTTGGGTCAGAAATCCAAGGTGGCTAATAGGGCCTGAGAGAATGTATATAACTGTCCTTCGTGGAGCCTGGGAACATTTTGATCACTTGGGAGGAGGGGCATTCCACTGACTAAAGGACTGCACAGGACTGGGAACACAGTTCACTAGTAGAATGCAAGCTTATGCTTAGCATGCAAAGCCCTGGCTTCAATACCCTGAACCATGAAAGACAGAAAAGGAAAGGAAGAGAAATGCTAGGTGTGGTGATACAAGATGGCAATCCAGCACTCGGGAGGATGAGTTCAAAGTCATTCCGTAGCAAGTTTGAGGCCAGCCTGGGGTGCATGAGAACCCTTCTCAAAAAAGGGGGTGAGAGGCTGGAGAGTGGAGTTGCTGGTTTATTCCTAGAGCCCATCAGAGTTAACAATCTTCTGTAACTCTAGTCCCAGGGCATCTGGTTCCCTCTTCTGGCCTCTGAGGGTACCAGGCACACACACAGTGCACATACAGAAAAAGCACCCATACATATAATAAGATGAATAAACCTTAAAAAACAAAACCAGTCATTAAAGTTAGAAAAATATATTTAAAAAAGTGGTGGGTGAGAACTGGGGAAGGGTGTGGTCTTTAAAACACTTGCTTTGCAAGCATGAGAATCTGAGTAAGGGCTCCAAAACCACGTGAAAATGCTGGCTGTGGGGGCATTTTCTCACAGCCCTTGTGCTGGGGAAGCAGAGGCAGGAGCATCCCTGGCCTCTTGGCCAGCCAGTATTGCCAAATTGGTGAGCCTTTACTGTGGAATAATCCTTCTGTACACTGTGAAAATAATGCTGTGATTGGTTTAATAAAGAAGCTGACTGGCCAATAGCTGGACAGGATAAGGTTAGGTGGGAAAATCAGACTAAGGACCCTGGGAAGAAGGGTGGAGTCAGGGAAGTCACCAGTGAGACAGAGAGGAAACAGGAGGTGCAAGATCAAAGAGAGGTTAACACCACGTGGCAGAATGTAGATTAATAGAAATGGACTAATTTAAGTTGTGCCAGTTAGTAATAAGCCTGAGCTATCAGCCAAGCACTTATAATTAATATTGAGTCCCCATGTCAGTTATTTGGGAACTGGTGGGTAGAAAAGATATGTCTGTCTACAAGCTTCCAGCCAGTGAGAAGCTTGAGACTTCTTGAAGGAAGTCGGTCCATTCCTCAGGATGATTTTGAAGGTTGTCCTCCAGCTTCCATATGTATGTGCACAAATGCACATACACCCACACATATGAATACATACAGTTTAAGTGGAATGGGGCTGAGGAGGTGGCTCACTTGGTGAAGTGCTTGCTGCACAAGGAATATGAGGACCACAATCTGGATACCCAGCACCCATGCAGGAAGCCAGGTGCACTTGTGTGTCCCTGTAATTCCAGTGCTGAGCAAGTCAAGACCATGGGTCCCTGGGGCTTTCTGGGTCTAGTTGTCAGGTTTCAGATTCAGTGTGAGACCTCATCACAAGCAATAGGGCACTGGGTCAGTGAGATGGCTCAGCAGGATGAAGTTCTTGCTGCCACCCGGAGAACCTGTGTTCAATCTCCAGGACCCACATAGTAGCTGGAGAATGTGAAGGTCAAAATTTCCCTCACTTCCACACATTTACTGTGGGATGCACATGCACAAACACACACACACACACAGTTATAAAAACCAATGCTTAAAAAAAAAAAAAAAGAGTTGGGTGCTGGTGGTGCATGCCCTTCAGTCCCAGCACTCGGGAGGCAGAGGCAGGTGGATCTCTCTGTGAGTTCCAGGCCAGCCTGGTCTATAGAGCAAGTTCCAGGTCAGGCTCCAAAGCAATACAGAGAAACCCTGTCTTGAAAAATCAACAAATGTCAGGGGGTAGAGGAATTAGCTCAGTGGTTGGGAGCACTGTTTGCTCTTGCAGAGGACCCTGCTTCAAGCCCCATCACCCATATGGCAGCTCATACTGTGATTCCAGTCCCAGGGAATTGGATGCCTTCTTCTGGTATCTGTGGGTACCAGTCATGAATACAATGCAGATATATACATACATGAAGGCAAAACACTCATACACATAAAATTAAAAGATAATGGTGTGGAGAGTGATGGAGGGAGCTGCCTGCCTTTGACCTCTGGACCTTGCATGCACACACAAACAGATATGTACACATACAAGGAAGGAGAAAAAGAGGAAACTGCAACACAAGCTCCAGCCGTGCAGAAATGTTGGTACATCTAGCAGTTCAGATGAAATTTGTGGTAGATGCACAATGTAGAAAAGAGGAAACAGACATAGGTAAAGGTGAGAGTCTTAGGAAGGGACTCGATGCCTGACAGGAGGGGCCTCAGACCTGGTTCTCAAGCTCATCCAGATCATCTGGATTAGCTGCATCTCAAATCCTTTTGGGAAAGTACTAGAAATCTGTATGACTAGCTGGGCATGGTGGCACCTGTTAAAGCCAGTATTTAGAGGCAGAGGCAGGCGGATCTCTGAGTTCAAGGCCAGCCTGGTCTACAGAGTGAGTTCCAGGACAGACAGGGCTACACAGAGGGAACCAGTCTCAAAGAAGGAAAGGGAAAGAAAGAGAGAGAAGGAGAGGGAGGGAGAGAGGGAGGGGACGGAAAGAAAAGAGCTACGTAAATATAAAAACAAAACTGAAATAAATCACAAAGGACCAGGCAGGAGAATTAAGTGAGGTTCACAGCGCCGGTTCACAGCGCCATGCTGGCTAGGTGAGGGCTTGTAGCCCATTGGAGAGGCGCAGGACATTTGGTGAGAGGCAACCGGAGCATGGCCCCACGGCATAGGGAGAGCCCTAGGGCCTGGGCTGATTTTGGTAGAAGGAGATGCCATAAGGAAAGCTGTCTCTGTCTATACCAGGAATAACCCCGGTTCTCTGGGTAGGAGAGATATTAAGGGCGGTGGAAAGCACCCAGGGGTGGAGGGACACAGGTATGAGACAGTGACTATCTGTTAGACTAAGGAGGCCTTGCTCAACACCCATGATGCCTGTCAGCCTGCTTGCCCTGATAAAGAGAGCAGCCTGTTGGCATTTCTTTGAGAGTGCACACCAGGAGTGACAGAAGTCTGTGAGTGCCTGAGGGCCACCCACAGCCCCATGGGTTCGGTCTGGTTTCCGGCCTATTCAAGAGCTACTACAAAGAATGAACAGATTTTGTGCATGGAATTCATAGCTACTTCTTAGGCTAAGTAACAAGAGTTTAACAGTCTCTGATAATGGAAGGTGTTCCTGAAGGCTGGGATAGCTGTGCCTAGCTCAGAGCTCTCCACATAACTAGCAAGTGGCCAAAACCATGTACACGGCAGCTGATACCCGGTGGCCCAGGTAGTTTACTGGGTGAACAAAATACTTTCAAATTGCCTCAATTAGTTGCCTACACTAATAATTCAGGAGTTCCCATTAAAGTTGGCTTCGAAATTCTTTTTTGTTTTTGAGATAAGGTCTTACATAGCCCATGATGGCCTCAGACTCCCAATCTTTCTGCCTCCACCTCCTGAATGCTGGGATTAGAAGTATGTGTCACAACACCTGCCATCTAGATTCTTTTTTTAAAGATCTGGTGATCCTAGGCTCTGTCTAATGGGAGGGGCATGGCGTTCATGAGTTCCCACTCCTACTGAGTCCCTTGATCCTGAGTCTGCAACCAGCTCGAAGTAGGACAGGGCTTGTTCTATGGCTCCTCCGGAAGCAAAGTTATCAATAGGGCACAGTGTTTCTAAGACTTATCAAAAAATGGGAAAAAACCAAAAGGTGGACTAAGAAGGTTGTATGTTTCAAGAAAAATGGGAGCAAGCCCGTTCCTTTATGGCTGTGAAGAATACTGCACACCGATTCCATCCATCATTTTCGTGGCCTGCCTGGTCCCTGAAGGCATTTTCGAAGATGTGACCCGCCTGGACTTGCCTGTATCCTCAGTCGGGGGCAGAAGTTGGGGTAGAACCCTGTTTTTGGCATAGGCACTGGGCTGTTGGGAAAGAGCCCGTGTATGTTAACTTGGGGGGCAGCACGGGCCTCCCGCCTACCATTACACTTGGTGATGAGCTGGTCCTTCTTGCTAGACTCCTGCAGGACTTTGTTCTTAACACTGGAGAGCCTGTGCAGGGAAGTTAAAATGAGAGTATGAGCAGGCAGGAAGCAGATGAGCCCCAAGCCCCACGCCATCCCCGTGGCCCACTCACGCTTTTTCAAAGGCCAGCTTCTCTTTCTCCAGCTGCTTGGACAATACCTCCACCTCTCCAAGGGCAAACTGCAATTTCTCCTCTTCCTTGGCTAGGAGGGCCTTGGTTTTGGCATGAGCAGCTTTCTCATCCTGCAGGGGAGGTGGGTAGTTCTTTATCCCAAGCTGTCTTGGATCTCTTAGGATCCCTTCACTAATTCCCTTTCTCAGAGGTGCATTTTGAAGCCAGGGTACAGAAAGACTCTGCCTCACTGCAAGGGCTAGAGGTTCTGAAAATCCCATGCTCGAGGACTTGGCCCCACACAGGGAGCTTGGGAAATGGGAGAAAACTAGGAGTCTGCAGGGATCATTACTTACCACCAGTTTCTTCTCTATCTCCTGGAACTCTTCTTTACTGACAAAATTTTCATCCTGGAGAACCATCTGCAACAGAACCCGGCTCAGGAAGGGACTGGGACTAGGGTGGGGGGGTGCCCTCTAAGGACCAGGACAAATGATGTCCAGGACTTGAGGCCTTAGGACAGAAGAATGTAGCCCCCAGATTGCTGCAGCCCAGCTCTAAGTGCTGCCTGCAAGGAGTGATCAGCCTCATGGAGATGGTTCAAAGCCAGTGTTTAACACTATGCCCAAGGGACTGTGGTACATAGAGGAACCCCTGGACCCAACTTTAGTAAGGATCAGTATTGCTCTCAGAGAAAGTGACATTAATCCTGAGACCTGACTGCTAAATATGATGAGTAGAGAAAAAAATGTTCCAGATGGTAAGAACACACATGCCCAAGTGAGCTACCAAGACTATCGGGGAACTGAAGGTAATTCAGTGCCCATAGCATACATTCGTTGAAAGAGGCAGGGTATGTCTCTCATAATCTTCCTCGAATCTAACTGCTCAGAAGGGAAGTCACTGTCTAATAATCTTTAGATGGAAAGTAGATGTGAAGCCAGTTTTATTTTTTGAGCTAGAGAAATATCTCAACATTGTTACCAAAATAGAAAAAACAAAAACTATGTGCTCCTGCTGGCCAGCAGCGAGGCAACCTGTGATGTCAATGCTTGGCACCTATTAGCTGAGGCTAGAAACAAATGGACACCGAAAAGTTTTAGAGACCCCGAAACCAGCACAGTTAAAGGCCAACTGTGTAATAGCACTGCATTTGACACCGGGGAGTGTGGCTTAAGGAATGATCTGGTTTCTGTGCTCAGTAGTCCTTGGAGAGTCAGTGAGGTCATCTCCACTAAAAGTGCAGACACTGGGGTTGAACGAGCATCTACCAGTCCCTTCAGCAACCAGGCAGAGTGGAGACCATAGCCTGGTTTGGGTTAAGTTCAGGAAGGCACTCCGTTCTTGGTTCTGCTCCTAGCAGTCAGTCAGTCGAGTCCCGCCTCCGGGATGACGCCCTCCGCAATGTATTCTAGCCACGCCCCCTAACCCGAGGGCTTGGCCCCGCCCCCGCCGGTGAGGCATCCAATGCGGCCTTTCCCCGAGCTCTGGCTGCATACCACATTCCTCAGCTGGTGGATCAGTTCCTCTTGAGATTCAATCACGTCCCGCAGTTGATCGAAGGCGAGACACACAGATCCGGAGCCCCCCTGCGACCACCCAAGGGGTGTCGCCATCTTTCGCCCCCGCCAGCTCGTTGGAAATGGCCTCCGGCTGCGTGCCTTACCCGTCGCCAGCCAATGAGAATGCGACGCCACAGAGCGCCCTAGCAACCGGGGGCGGGGACTCCCTCTGTTAGCAAGGCGGAGGACCGGCTTTAAGAAAGCTTTCAGGCCAGTGCTTGTGGTCCACTGGGTAGAGGGCTTGCCCGGGAAAAGCTAGGCTGGATTTCATTCCCAACAAAGCAGCAACAAACCCTGGGCATAATAGTTTAAATTGGAAACCTCGGCTTTCAGGAGGCTGGAAGATTGTGAGTACAAGACCAGCCTGACCTACATAGAAAAGCCCTGCCTCAAAACATCAAAACCATAAAAATACAGAAGTTCAACTGAAAGAGTGCCTGCTTTTTTTTTTTTTCCCCCTCCAGAGATAGGGTTTCTCCGTGGCTTTGGAGGCCATCCTGGATAGCTCTTGTATACCAGGCTGATCTCGGGTGTTGGTGGCGCATGCTTTTAATTCCAGCACTCGTGAGGCAGAGGCAGGCAGATGAGGATCTCTGTGAATTCGAGGCCAGCCTGGGCTACAGAGGTAGTTCCAGGACAGGTTCCAAAACAATACAGAGAAAACAAACAAATAGAAAGAAAGAATGGAAAGAAAAAGCCTGTAATCCCAGAACTTCGGAGATAAAGGCAGGAGAATAAGAAATTCAGAGTTATTTTTTCATACATAGCAAGTTCAAGGCTAGCTTGGACAAGGTTACCTTGTCTCCAAAACCAAACCAAACCAAAGAAGGAAAATCCTATTGAAAAAACAAAACAAAACAAAACTTATAAAACAAGCCGGACTTGGTGGCAGATGCCTTTATTCCCAGTCCTTTGTGAGTTCCAGAACAGCCTGAACTCCATAATGAGGCAAAAAACAAGGCAGAAAACAAGCCTGGTGGTGGCGGCACATGCCTTTAATTCCAGCAATTGGGAGGCAGAGGTGAGTGAGTCTCTGAGTTTAAGGACAGCCTGGTGTACAGAGCAAGTTCAACGATAGCCAGGGCTACAAAGAGAAACCCTATCTTGAAAATGCCCTCCCCCCAAAAAAAAAAAAAAACTGGAATTAGTAGTATGTACTACTAAACACAAACTATTACACAGTAACATCTTTAGTCCAAAGTGGCTCCAAGCATGAGGATTGTGAATAAAGGTCAAACAAAGAACAGCCATAAGCTTGCATTTTGTATATAAAATTGTTTAATGTTTACTTTGTTAAAATACACTCATTCTAAATGCAATGGATCAGGTAACCAGGTTTCTCAGCATTTTCACATGTGTTATCCTTGACTCTGGTCACAGAATGCTCCTACCTCCCAACACTGAGTGTGACGCGAATGTAGACTCAATGTACATCAGCTCTTGGTGACCACTGCATGAGGTATACATTAAGATGTATAGTAACAGGCCTTTTCCCGAAATAAATATATTAGGATACCAATCTAATACCTTAAATGAATACCAATTAAATGCCAGCTCTTGTGAAGAGCAGTGCATGCAGAGACCATGGGTTGCTTGTGTGGTCAGCTGCTGGGATCCCAAGGTGCCTCCTGGCAGCGGTAAGTGCTGAGAGAGTGAAGTTGAGAACTCAAACAGCACACAACTCAGCCAGCCTGCTGGATCCTGGTTCCAGCAGGTAGGTTTGGCATGTCTTGCAATTTCTAACAGTTCCCATAAGCATGCATAATACTATTTTCTTACCGGTCACTTCTCCCAAGCTGTGTGGCCTGGAGCTGGTCAGTGAGGCTTAGGCGTCCTGGCTTGAGCAGATAGATGAAGGAAGGATATGGGTGCCTTCAAGCTCTAGTGCTCCTTACAAGGAGGATTTTCCACCTCCCTCTCACTAAAGAGAGCACCTCAATGTCAGTTTCCGGTCCTGTGTGAGCCCTGTTTCTTAACCTCACTCCCATCACAGTCTCCATTCTGCAATCTCAAATTGTGAGCCACAGTGACAGCAAAAAAAGCCATATTGAAAGAGTTCACACTGCCAGGGAATCTCATAGAAGACATAGGCAAGAGTACAAAGCTTATTTTACCAACACGCAGACAACGTATCTAAATTATAAGCAAGGAATTAAGAGCGTAATGATTCTAGATAGTGCCAAGTAGATTAAACTATCCTTCAACCAAAGCAAATATGGTTCTCTTGAGGAAACAAGATATGAGTGCTGTAGTTATCGGTAATAAATAAAACAGGCTGTAAGAACCACAGGCTACAAGGACACTCGGTATGACATTTAATGGAGCAAAGTTAGATTGTCTCTGGTCTCTTCACCAGATATTTCATCACTGCCATGAAATCCAGACTATTCAAGGGCATCTAGGGGAGGGTTTTACCCAGTCACACCAATTTCATGATGGTCCACTTTCTGGCTGAGGCTGGGAGGGGAGAGCTTTGCATTTTTTCATGTGTAGACGCTTTCCATAAGCTTGTTTGGTTCATGGGTACATTTTACAACAGATGGGTTTTGCTGTTGTTTGTTTTGAGACAGGGTTTCACTATGAACTTGCTATGGAGAGCACATTGGCCTTGAACTCACAGAAATCCATCTGCCTCTGCTTCCCGAGTGCTGGGTTTAAAGGTATGTTTCACCATGCCTGGCACACTTTACTAAGTAAATTCCCTGCTGCTCATAGGTTACAGGGGTTCTCCAAAATTGGAAAGTCTGGGGATGTAGGCTAGCATGCACAAAGCCTTGGGCTCTTTCCCCAGCTCCAGAAAAGCCAGGAGCGACTCAAGCATTCAAGAAGTAAAGGCAGAAGGATGTTAGGCAGGCAGTGTTGATGCACACCTTGAATCCCAGCACTCCACATTCTGCAGGCAGAGGCAGGAGGATCTCTCAGTTCAGGGCCATCCTGGTCTACAGAGCGAGTTCCAGGGCAGCCAAGGCTACACAGAGAAACTCTGTCTTGAAACAAACAAATAATAATAAAAATAAAAAGGTCCCTGCACTTGGGAGGCAGATGCAGGTGGATGAGTTCAAGGCCAGTCTGGGATACATAAGACCCTATCCAAAAAGAAAAAAGACATGGAAAATAAACCAGTTATCTACTGATCCTTTCAAATTCAGGCTCATGATAATCTAGGTAGCTCAGGAACTCAGATCTGACATTGCCCTCCTCAGGAAGTCCCAACCTGAGCAGTCAATGACTTAGTTCTAGAAAGAACTGCCTTTTCTGCCTCTGAAGGATTTGTATCAAAAGGTCCATCATTAAGAAGTGTGTGTGGGTGTTCAGCCTGCATGTATGTCTGTGCACCAGGTATGCTCAGTGCCTGTGAGGACACAAGAGGGAGCTGGATCCTCTGGAACTGGAGTTACAGAATGTTGGGATCTGCCCTGTGAGTGTTGGGAATTGATCCAGAGTCCTTTGGAAAAGCAGCCAGTGATCTTAATCACTGAGCCATCTCCAGCCCTGGTCCTGCTTCTAAAAGACAAGCAGGGAAGCAGTCCTGAAGGGATACAGGACTGCCACAGAAAGGATGCAAGTTGTAGGTGGAGGTGTCCTGGAGAACAGAGGCATCCGAGGGAAAAATCTCTGCTTTCCCAACCTGGCTAGAATCACCTGAGAAATAGGATGACCTCTCACATTTTGTACTTCCTCAACTAGTCATATGACCCAGGCCAACCATGTATCTTGTTGTGGTTCATAAAAGAGGTAATACACCAGCTTCACAAATTGTGAAGAGGCATAAGTTAAAAAGAAAATGTGAAAGCCATTGCTTTATAGTAGGCACTCCATAAATATCAAATGAATGATAGATCATCTTGTATTAAAATTAGAAGGACACCGAGTCAAACAAAATGACTAAGAACATCAGCCCTCCATGCTCTCTAATTCCGGAATGGACCTGGGCGTCTACACTGGTATTTGACCTTCCTTAGCCCCGCCTCCTATTGCTCCTGCTGCTCAACTATCCATGGAACCGTTTCACAGCTCAACAGGGTTTTTGCTTATTTTCAGTTTTTTTTTTTTTTTTTAAGACAAGATTTGATTATGTAACTTTGGCTGGTATCGAACTTGCTATGTGGCCCAGGCTGGCCTAGAACTCATAAAGACTAGCCTGCCTAGCCGGGCATTGATGGTGCACACCTTTAGTCTCAGCACTCGGGAGCCAGAGGCAGGCGGATCTCTATGAGTCTGAGTCCAGCCTGGTCTACAAAGTGAGTTCCAGGACATCCTCCAAAGCAACACAGAGAAACCCTGTGTCAAAAAAAAAAAAAAATTAGCCTGTCAGTGCTAGGATTAAAGGTGTGTACCATCACATGCAGCCTGCTCAACAGGTTTTACTTTCTAGACCCTGTGAGATGACTAAGGAACCTCACTGGGAATGGTAGCTTATACCTGTAATCCCAACACTTTAGAGGAGGGTCATGGCAAATTCAAGGCCAGCTTGGACTATATAGAGTGAGTTCCAGCCTAGACTGGGCTACAGAATGAGCTCTTTTTTCAAAAAAAGAAAGAAAAACCACAAATCAGGCAGTTGGCTAATGTTCCTGCCTCAACAGAGACTGGAATAACACCAAACTATTGGCTAACCAGTTCAATTTCTCTAGTCTCTCCTTAGGGGACTATCATGGAGAGGTATAATTCTCAGCAGACACCATCCATGCTCTGACGTGCACTGGCTGAAACTGGAAAGGCTGCAGGCAGGATGAAAGAGGAGATGTGGGTCTTCTCTGGGATGCCATCGTCTACATTCACAGAGGAGCTGAGTCCATGGAACTTAGAGGAACTGTCCCTGCCCTGGGAGCCTGAATGGAAGAACAGGGTGGTGACAAAGTGTGGCTCCCTGTCCTGCAGTTCTACCCAACAAAGTTAGCAGATGGTAAGTTTTCATCACTTCCTAACTTGTATTATAAAATGGAATTTGCCATGTAAATAGTAACAAGTAAGAACCCAATCCTGAGACAGGACACTGTCCTCTCAGCCGCCCCTCCGCAGGCCAATTAGCTTGGAAAGTTTGTCACAGTTTTCAAGTTTCAGTGACTCTGCTTTCTGCCGAAGTCGCTCATCTCTATACAACCCAGCCAGATTGGTCAGCTCTGACTCTG